TGTCAATAAAACGCAAAATAAGCAACTCCGCGAGCTGGTATCTTTTTGTTTTGACCCCAAACCCGTACAGAGGTCACCGTTGGCAAGCCTGGGCTCTTGTGGTGGGCGATGATCAGAGTGGCCGAGCCGGCACGCGAAGCTGCAAGGGTGCACAAACAAAACAAACTCTAAAGTTTCTGTCCAATTTCACAGATGCGTCATGAAGTGTGCGTACAATAGGCAACACAAAGACACGTTTGATCGTGTGACTGGTAACCAAGGCTTCATTTCAATCGGATCTGCCCGTCTTGGCGACCCATAATATGTCCGTGCGCCGGCACACCACGTCGAGTGTAGACCTCTCGAGATGGTCGTTGGCTGCTAGTTGTGTACTACTTAATCGAGACTACTTGGCGACCCAAAAACAATATTGCGTGAGAAATTAAGCCCTGGCTTTCACGACTGAGAGGGAGGGCGGGCAGGGGTTATTTGGCGGATGATTACATACTGTACTCTCAAAGTGGCGCTAAATTCTTAATTTTTCTGGGGGCACTGGTTGCTGCCTGGGCTGGGGCTGCCCCGTGGGTCCGAGTGGTCCTCCTCTGGGTGGCACGGTGGTGGTGAGATGTTAACTACCTCGCCTGGTATACAGGAGGTCGTGGGTTCGATTCCGACCCTGGTCTCCCCGTGGTCGTGTGGATTTTCCTCTGGGTCCAGTTTTTCCCTCCACATTTAGAAACATGCGTTTAGAGGATTTGGCTGCTGTACATTTCCACACGATAAGCCACTTCGCTGAGCTATTGTTTGTGGCCAGGTCGCTTCTGAAAAATATCTCAGTGGGCCTTGGTACAATAAACAAATGTTTGTTGAATTTGCTGAGCGACGCGCGCAATGTTTTCGCAAAACTCTCACAGGACTTCGAAGTTGCCAAAGAGATGGCAGAGCAAGTGGATTTATGAACCCATTGTGTTTGGTTTCATAACCCCCCCTCCCTCCCCCTGGTTTCACGCCGCACGAATGAAATTGCTAATTTTAACAAAATGAGTAGCAATTGGAAGCATATCTCAACGCGGCAGGGACCCTCCCTAGAAAAGTCTAGAGACTCGGGCTTTGCTGGATGAATATAAAAACGATATCGTTAATATAGATGCTGCCTGATCGCCCCGCGTGTACGTGCGTGTGCACGTCTGTACTGTGCGTACGTCTGTGTGGAAGTCTGCTTTGTACATCTGTAGACGTGTGTGTGCACGTCTATATTCTGTGTACCTGAGTGTACGTCGATTGCGTGTGTCCACGTGGTTGCGTTGTGTGTACACGTATGTGTGTACGCGCGCGTGTGTGTGTGGCTCCAGCTGTTTTAGTTTCAGGAATTTCCGTTGATGTCGAGAAACCCAAGCAAGTCCCCCCCCCCCACCGCCCCCTTTGCAACTCTCATCCCTCTGCGATGTAAATGTGTCCAGTTGGGGCGGCGGCGTGAGGTGGGGGCTTTCCTTTGGTATCGAGGGGGAGAGTGGGGGTCATATTTACGGTACTGGGACAGGGCCAAGGATGATCTGGGCTGACTCCACGTGTTGTACACGCGTGTGTGAGGGGGTTGGAGCGGTGGCGCAGTTGTTAGCCCACTGCACTTCGAACCCCAAGACCGAGTTCGATTCCCACTAGCAACCAACGTCAGCGGTTCTGGGCCTCCTCTAGGTCGACCCAGCCTTGAATAAGTGTGTTTACATCAGCATTGGGGAGCCAAACGCGACCGGGCATGGTGCTGGCCGCCCACCCCCTCCCCAGCAGACCGCATGGGTATAGGCCTTGTCGACTCAATAACAGCGTGTTAGGCAGAGGGTGTAGTCTACACATGCCAACGTTTGCACGTGGAATCATTAAGGACAACGTTGGTCCTACGTCCCATATTTCCTGACACGTGAAGTTCACGTGCCAAGTCGCTCTCGCTGTCTTGTCATTTCTCGCGAATGACGCGTGAACAGCACACGCGTGTGAATTCAATGACTGACATTCACAAGAGCCCTTGGCTCGGCGTGTGGACATCTGAACGACGTGAACATGTGAAGGACATGACATCCTCACGTGTCTCCATGCCCATCGCGCGGGCTCGTCCCCTCCCTCTCCTCCTCTTGCCTCTCTCAACGCGGCCGCTGAATGCGGCGTCTGATCCGCGGGGGTGAAATCCGAGCCCAGGGCGGTGTCTCCGGAAAGCGGCGCACGTGGGAGAGGGAGCTTGACAAGGGACGGGGGATGAGCAGGGGGGGACAGGGACGGGGGATGAGCAGAGGGGGCAGGGATGGACAGGGGGAGCAGGGACGGGGGATGGGCAGGGGTAGCAGGGGTGGACAGTGGGAGCAGGGACGGGGGATGGGCAGAGGGAGCAGGGGTGGACAGTGGGAGCAGGGACGGGGGATGAGCAGAGGGAGCAGGGGTGGACAGTGGGAGCAGGGACGGGGGATGGGCAGAGGGAGCAGGGGTGGACAGTGGGAGCAGGGACGGGGGATGAGCAGAGGGAGCAGGGGTGGACAGTGGGAGCAGGGACGGGGGATGGGCAGAGGGAGCAGGGGTGGACAGGGGGAGCAGGGACGGGGGATGGGCAGGGGGAGCAGGGGTGGACAGTGGGAGCAGGGACGGGGGATGGGCAGAGGGAGCAGGGGTGGACAGTGGGAGCAGGGACGGGGGATGGGCAGGCGAAGCAGGGGTGGACAGGGGGAGCAGGGACGGGGGATGGGCAGGGGGAGCAGGGGTGGACAGGGGGAGCAGGGACGGGGGATGAGCTGAGGAAGCAGGGGTGGACAGGGGGAGCAGGGGCTGACACCTGGGAGGAGCCATACTCCGGGGGGTTTCCATCTGGGGATTTAGTTTATTTTGGAGGCGGCGGTCCTTCATGCTCACGAAGCTCTGAATCCTACCCCTGACTGTCCCCATGCTCATGGAAACTTCCAGTGAGACTGGGAGGGGAGGCTTCCCACGGTGGACAGCTGCTGCCCCTTGCCCTCTGGCCCCTGACCAGGCGAAATCGGGATGGATCCATGGACGGGAGGAAAACGTGGAGCGGAGTCCATCGTGAGTGGAACAGCTCAGCTCCAGGCAACAACAGCAGCCTAACAACAGGCATCACATCACCCCTGTTAGAGGCGTTATTTCACCGATTGTCCAGGCATCGCATTTCCAATACAACCGCCATTCACCACTAAGTGACGGTGATGCCACCACGGCGCCTATGCCAGGCCAGGTGCACTTTGAGGCCACGTGAAGTGTCGAAGGCTCGCTGACAGGAGGTCACGGGACAGGCTCAGGTGCCATTGGTTGGCTGAGATTACCGGTAGATGCACCAGCTGTACCCCCCACAGTGCCAACTTGCTCTATTTTATCCACCCGGTGCTCCACTCGTTGTTGTGAGCGTAGTTCATCTGCCCTCCGTTGTTGCTGGAGGGTGACTGCCTCCAACTGTCCAGTAGCGTGCGGGCTCCATGACCCAGCCAACGCAGCATTGCCTGCCGGAGAAGCTCAGTGATGGGAATAGGTACAGATCTTTCAAGGATTTGTGAGCTCACAATCCAGCCTGGTTAAATCCAGGATGGATCGTAGGCATGCCAACCTGAATGTTTCTAACCGGCGCAGATGTTCCATTAGAGGAGTCCACGTTTCACAAGCATAGATAAGGGAGGGGCATGACTGTGGCCGAGAAGACCCAAAGCTTCGTGTGTAGCGACAGACCAGGTAGCTTCCACAGCATTGTGCAGTCGATGAAAAGATAATGCCGCCCAACTGATTCGGAGTGAGACCTCTGCTGTCAAACCGGCCCTGGTCATAAGCACACTGCCCAGGTATGGGAAACTCTCCACTCCACAACTGCTCCATCACCAATGGGTAGCTGAGGGGTGGAGTGTTTGGTAGCACAAGATACTCAGGCAGGTGCTTAGTTTAGGTGTGGCTGATGGTACGACCCCACCTCTTCATGGCACACTCCAGGTTCAGCAGCAGCGCCTCCAACTCCTCTGAGTGAGCAGCAATCACCAGATCATCAGCAGACTCACATTATCCCGACTCCGACAGGCATCACATCACCTGTCCGTCTACAGGGATCACATCCCTCTCCCTACATCATACCTCATCTCACAGGCATCACACCGCCCCCCATATTTTTACAGGCATCACCCCAGACAGTTTCACCACCAGTGGCGTCGTGACGACATCATCAACTCAGGGGGCAAGTGCGGCAATTGGTCAGGTGGAGGCCCCAATATTTTATTCTAATTAAATTGAAATAAAACGTGGAACGTAAACGAACGCTTTTCTACACAAAGACATTTTAAACGCGTTTTCAGTAAGTGTTTTGTTCTTTTACGCTGTGGTTGAAAACATATCGTGGTGGTTGTCAAGGGGGCCCCAACTCATCGCTTTCGCCACCATGGGCAGGGAGGGGGGGGGGTCAAGGCACCCTCTGCCCCCACGCTCGTTCCGCTGCTGTTCACCACCCTGCCTCCCTCCCTCCGTCACCTCCCGCACACCTGGGCCCTACCCCCATCCCCGCGCCTGGCAGCTCATTAATTATCTCGTTCATTATTCATTTCTCCGCCGTCGCCGTCACCACCACCACCATCGCTACCGCCGCCGCCGCCACTGCAGCTGCCCCGGGGGCTCGGGTATCGGTCGCTGAGTGGAACGCGACACGGACCGGGTCGGGTGTCGAGCTCTCAGAACGCGGGGTCGGGTGCGCTAACCCAGCGTGTCAGGGAGATGGAAGTTTGGGGTCGCTGCGAGGGCGTGTAAAGGGGTCCTGGATTGTGGGGGTCAGGTCAAGGTAACTTGGGTCAGGGGTCAAGCTCCTTGCATGCCCGGGTGATTCCGAATTGACCCGATTCACATTTCCGGCCGAAGCCTCGATCTCAAACCGCCAAATGATTTCACTGGGGGGCCCAGGTGAGAAGACCCCCACTTTCCAGGGCCATGAGCGAGGCCCCCCACGGATGGGGAGAGACCACGAGAGCCAAAGGAGATCACACGGAGCCGATGTCTCCAGTTCACATTTTAATTCGTACAGAAGCGGGCGCGTCAGTGTGTGTGGTGGCTTTGTATATAGGGAGCGGTGGCGCAGCGGTTAGCGCGGTGCGCAATGAACCCAGCGACCCGAGTGCGATTCCTGCTCACGGTTAGCACAAGTGACGATTATCTGAACCGGTCCTGGGCCGCCTCCAGGTCGACTCAGCCTCAAATGAGTATCTGGTGCCGTGCGTAATCGTCGTGACTAGGAAGACAAAGGTGGCCGGGCGTGGTGCTGGCCACCCACCCCCTCGTGGCCGCCTTCATAGGCGCTCGATAACAGCACTTGCCCCAACAGTCTGTTCAGGCTAGACGGGGGATCTTTTCCTGTGTCATTGTATGCGTGTATGTCAATGTGTATGCATATGCGTACCTGTGTGTGACTTATCTTTGTGCACGTGTGTGGCATCTGTGTAAGTAACTACGTGTTTGTGTGTGTCGGTGCGCCCTTGCGTCTGTGCGAGTGAGAGCGCATCTTCCCGTCTTAGTCTCTCTCTCTATGGTACACTATATGCATGTACTGTGCCGTATATATGAGCGACTATACCGTAATCCCAGAACGCCTCTGCAGGTATAAATATTCTCGCGACGCCGTCATCTCAACATCATCATCACCGTCGTCGTCGACATCATCCACACCATAATCTTCATCATCAACGATCATCCTCTCCTTCAACATCATCCCCATCATCGAGCGCCGTGAAGGTTGCTTGGTGTTGAGGAGGTGGGGAGTTTGTCGGGGCCGGGCATGGTAAGCGACTGTTCAGGAACGTGGCCACCAAAGACCTCACACCGCCTGGTGTGTGCGTGTCATCTCGGGTTAACCCCCCCTGGGGGAATCCCCTTGCTCCCCCCTCTCGTGTTCCCCTGCCTGACTTCCTCCACCCAAGTTAAACGCGTTAAGAGGGACCCCCCCCCCCCTCCACCACCACCCTCCCAGACTGGGGGTCACCTCGGTGGCTCAGGCCTTGAGCAGCCCCAGTTTCCTCAGCGCCTCCCTGTGCTCCTCCTCTGCGGCGCGTCCGCGCGGTGAGAAGTGAACCGTGATGCCAGAGGGCCTCAGGCCCGGCCGCTGCCCCTGCTGCCCATGAGGAGGGGACCTGCCTGCCCGCCCAGGGCCCCTGCTACCGTCCCCGGCGTGGCCCAAGGGCCCCGTGGGGCCGGTGGGGCTGGTGGGGCTCGCGGAACCCGTGGGACTCGAGGGCCCCGGAGAGAGGGGGGCACCCGGTGACGGGGCGCGAGCGGGCCCCCTGGGGCCGCACTGCGGGGAGCGCGGGCCCCGTGGGTCCCCCTTGCCCACGGAGTCCTTCTTGAGGAGCCCCAGCCTGGCGAGGGCCTCCTGCCGGGCGTGGTCCTGCCCAGGTCCCGCGGGGAACTTCACGGAGCAGCGCCGCACGACGCCCGTGCCCCGGCATCTCTCGGCTTCGACTCCAGGTCCCTGGTTCTCCAGCCTCTGTGCTCCACCTCCTCCGTTAGGCCTTCCGTCTCCACAACCACCTCGTCCACCATCACCACGCTCTCCATCTGCCCTCGCTACATCAGCACGCATTCCATCACCACCTCCCCCACAGCTGCCACCGCCTCCACCTCCTCGTCCAAGCCCACGCGTTCCATCTCCGCCTTCCTCGTCCACTCCTCTCGTCCCCGTCGTTCGGAGTTGCGCGCGGACGCGGTGGGGCCCGGTAGACACGTCGGTCACCTCGTCAACCTCCTCCGCCTTGTCCTCCTCGTTCCCCTCATCATCCCTCCTCTCATCATCCTCATTCCGCTCATCGCCCTCGCTCCTCCCCCGTCCTCTCGATGCCGGCCTCCCGTCGGGCAGACGCACACTGGGCCGCGGGAAGAGGTATGGCCTCCGACTCCTGGGGTCCGCGTCCCCACCGGAGCCCTCGGGAAGCACGGCCCGGGCATCGGGCGTCATCCCCGCGGGGTCGGGGAAGTCGCGCACTGCTTGACGAGGTGGAGGAAGGGAAGAGGAAGACACGGCGACTAGCCTAATCAGCGCGCGAACATCGCAACGAATCTCACCGTAACAAAAAGAATCAGCCGTGCTCAATCCACTGCTGGACTTCACGCTGGTTTATTGTGTGGGTTGGTGAAGGTGGTTGGAGATCACGTGGGAGCATTGCTCTCCAACACTGCCGGGATCGTGCTGCTGAATGAGAAATAAATTGTCCACGTTTGTTGAAGACTTTGTTAAGTGTCTGTGTCAGGTGGAGGAGGGACTACGACAGATATTGTGCTCAAGCGGTGATCTGACCCAAAAGTCTATTATTATCAATCAAGTACAGTAACAACAATGGATGTTGCGCCTCCTACACTCTGCTGCTCACAACATCGTTCAGCAACATCTCACTTTGTAATATAATACTATTTATAAAGATCACTATTTATATGTTACTATTTATATTACTGGGCGTTTAGTTGAAGGCCACGTGTGATGAATCCGTGTTGATTGCGTAACGCTTCCGTAGCCCAGTAACCAGATACGAGAGACATCACCAAGGCGCCACAACACCACGTGCCAACATACAACATCACAACACCACGTGACATCACAACACCACGTGCCAACACAACACCAACAACACCACGTGACATCACAACACCACGAGCCAACACAACACCAACAACACCACGTGACATCACAACACCTACAACACCACGTGACATCACAACATCAATAACATTACTTGACATCACAACACCACGTGCCAACAAAACACCAACAACACCACTTGACAATACAACACTAACAACACCACGTGACATCACAACACCACGGTGCCAACACAGCAAAACACAACGTGCCAACACAACATCAACACCACGTGGCAACACAACACCAACAACACCACGTGACATCACAACACCACGTGTCAACACAACATCAACAACACGTGTCAACATCACAACACCACGTGGCAACACAACACCAACAACACCACGTGACATCACAACACCACGTGCCAACACAACATCAACAACACGTGTCAACATCACAACACCACGTGGCAACACAACACCAACAACACCACGTGACATCACAACACCACGTGCCAACACAACATCAACAACACGTGCCAACAACATCAACACCACGTGGCAACACAACACCAACAACACCACGTGACATCACAACACCACGTGCCAACACAACACATTACAAAACCACGGTGCCAACACAACATCAACAACACGTGTCATCATTATAACACCACTTGGCAACACAACACCAACAACACGTGTCAACATCACAACACCACGTGGCAACACAACACCAACAACACCACGTGACATCACAACACCACGTGCCAACACAACACATTACAAAACCACGGTGCCAACACAACATCAAGAACACCACGTGACATCACAACACCACGTGCCAACACAACATCAACAACACGTGCCAACAACATCAACACCACGTGGCAACACAACACCAACAACACCACGTGACATCACAACACCACGTGCCAACACAACACATTACAAAACCACGGTGCCAACACAACATCAACAACACGTGTCATCATTATAACACCACTTGGCAACACAACACCAACAACACGTGTCAACATCACAACACCACGTGGCAACACAACACCAACAACACCACGTGACATCACAACACCACGTGCCAACACAACACATTACAAAACCACGGTGCCAACACAACATCAAGAACACCACGTGACATCACAACACCACGTGGCAACACAACACATTACAAAACCACGGTGCCAACACAACATCAAGAACACCACGTGACATCACAACACCACGTGCCAACACAACACATCACAACACCACGGTGCCAACACAACATCAACAACACCACGTGACATCACAACACATTACAAAACCACGGTGCCAACACAACATCAACAACACGTGTCATCATTATAACACCACGTGGCAACACATTACAAAACCACGTGCCAACACATTACAAAACCACGTGCCAACACAGCATCACAACATCACAGTGGCACGGTGCCAACACAACACCATGTGCCAACGCATCTCAACACCACGTGCCACATACAGCATCAACAACAACACAACAGGGTGAGGCGCGCTGTGATTGTCCGAAGTGATGCCGGTGATAGGGGATGAATGATGGTTGTAGTGGTGGTGGTGGTGATAACGATGCTGGTGGTCCTGGTGGTGATTATGGTTGTGATATGACCATCGTGGTTGGTGTTGATGATGGTGGCGGTCGTGGTAATGATGTAATGATGTTATGGATGGTGGTGTTGATGCTACTGCTGCTAGTGACGGTGATTCTGCTGATGGTGATGTGGTTAATGATGGTGATTATGACTCCATCATGTTGATGATAGTGGTGGTGATTATGCTCATGCTGGTAGTGGTGGAGACCTCCAATGTTCAGTCTGAAGCTGCTGGTACTGTTATTGATGATGATGATGATGATAGCACCATGATGGTGATGATGACAGTGGAAGGGGTAATCATTCTACTGATGATGACAACGTCAGTGGAGCAGATGATGGCTGTTGGGCGAACTCACATTCCTGCTCTCCGTGCCGGATGCTCGCGTCCAGGTAGCTCAGCGCCGCCATCTCCTCAGCGCCCAGCTCCGCGTCCCCCTCTCCCTGGGACCCCGGGGTCGCGGGGGTCCCAGGGGGGGTCCCGGGGGGGGTCCCCTGTCTCCCCGCGTGCCCGCCGCTCTCCCTCGGAGACCTCATCACAGCCGCCTCATCTCCCAGCCCGTTCTCGTGGTGCTTTTGGTTGTGGTGGTGGTTGTGGTGGTGGTGGACGCTCCTCCTCGTCTCCCGGGGTCTTCGGGGGTCCCCTTGCGGGTCCCCTCGCGGGTCCCCTTCGCCCGGAGGTTCCGGTGCAGCCGCGGACTCGACCGTGGCGTCAAAGTAACGGAGACATTCGCGCTCCTCTTCTGAGAGGAGGCTCCACTCATCCTCCTCGTCCTCCTCCTGACCACCATCAACACCACAACCAACACCATTCTCCTTCTGTAGGTGCGGGGTGGGGGGCGGGAGGAACGAGGTGAGGTGAGTGGGGCGTCACAGGTGAGGAGGTGCCACAGGTGAGGTGAGGAGGGCATCACAGGTGAGGAGGGTGTCACAGGTGAGATGAGGAGGGCATCACAGGTGAGGAGGGTGTCACAGGTGAGATGAGGAGGGCATCACAGGTGAGTAGGTGCCACAGGTGAGGTGAGTAGGGCATCACAGGTGAGGAGGGCATCACAGGTGAGGTGAGTGGGGCATCACAGGTGAGTAGGTGCCACAGGTGAGGTGAGTAGGGCATCACAGGTGAGTAGGGTGTCACAGGTGAGGTGAGTAGGGCATCACAGGTGAGGAGGGCATCACAGGTGAGTAGGGCATCACAGGTGAGGAGAGTGTCACAGGTGAGGTGAGGGATGAGAGGGCGAGTGATGAAGATGAGAGACTAAAAACGAGGATATGGAAACGTGAGGGGGGGGGGGGGGCAGGCGTGGAAGGTGAGGGATGAGATGAGGAGATGCAGGTGACGGGTGAGAACAGAGGCGATGAATAAGGTGAGGGGGGGAGAGGCGAGTATTGTCCGCGCGTTGAACTTCTATCGCACCGCACGTAGCCAGCCGCGCTAGTCGGAGCTGCGGGGTTGAGGGTGGATCGCGAGGTCGCAGATGAGGTGGGAGAGCGAGGGGGGAGGGGGGGTACGGCGAAGGGATGACGGCAGTGACGGGATGAGAAGTTGATGAGGTGAGACGGCGTGAAGATGATGCTCCAGTGGAGTTACTCACCACGTCGCTGTCGCCGAGCGAGCCACCTCCTCTCCTCGCTCGGCCGCTCCATCCCGCGGGAGACCCGTTGTGGGTGGACATGATCCCCCCCCCCCCCCCCGTGTCCTCTCGTCTCACCTCGTCCTCCCCACGTCTCCCCTCGTCCTCCCGACGTCTCCCCTCGTCCTCCCCACGTGTCTCCCCTCGTCCTCCCCACGTCTCCCCCCTCGTCCTCCCCACGTGTCTCCCCTCGTCCTCCCCACGTGTCTCCCCTCGTCCTCCCCACGTCTCCCCTCGTCCTCCCCACGTCTCCCCACGTCTCGCCGCGTCGCCTGCACGGGTCTCTCTGTGCGTTGGGGTTTGGGCGAGGGCGGTGGGGACGAGGGTAGAAGTGGTGGGGGGAGGAGGAGGAGGAGTTGTGTAGGGGGGTGGTTAGGCTGGTGGGGGGTGAGGCTGGTGGGGGTGTGGTTAGGCTGGTGGGGGGTGAGGCTGGTGGGGGGGGGTGGTGAGGCTGGTGGGGGGGGGGGTGGTGAGGCTGGTGGGGGGGGGGGCTGGTGGGGGGGGGTGGTGAGGCTGGTGGGGGGGGGTGAGGCTGGTGGGGGGGGGCTGGTGGGGGGGTGAGGCTGGTGGGGGGGGGTGAGGATGGTGGGGGGGGGGGCTGGTGGGGGGGGGTGAGGCTGGTGGGGGGGCGGGGGTGGTGAGGCTGGTGGGGGGGGGGGAGGGTGAGGCTGGTGGGGGGGGGGGGTGAGGCTGGTGGGGGGGGGAGGGTGAGGCTGGTGGGGGGGGGGGGGGGTGGTGAGGCTGGTGGGGGGGGGTGGTGAGGCTGGTGGGGGGGGGGGTGGTGAGGCTGGTGGGGGGGGGGGGTGGTGAGGCTGGTGGGGGGGGGGGGTGGTGAGGCTGGTGGGGGGGGGGTGGTGAGGCTGGTGGGGGGGGGGGGTGGTGAGGCTGGTGGGGGGGGGGGGGGGTGGTGAGGCTGGTGGGGGGGGGGTGGTGAGGCTGGTGAGGGGGGTGGTGAGGCTGGTGGGGGGAGTGGTGAGGCTGGTGGGGGGGGGGTGGTGAGGCTGGTGGGGGGGGTGGTGAGGCTGGTGGGGGGGGGGGTGGTGAGGCTGGTGGGGGGGGGGGTGGTGAGGCTGGTGGGGAGGTGGTGGTGAGGCTGGTGGGGGGGGTGGTGAGGCTGGTGGGGGGGGGGGGTGAGGCTGGTGGGGGGGGTGGTGAGGCTGGTGGGGAGGGGGTGGTGAGGCTGGTGGGGGGGGGGGGGGGTGAGGCTGGTGGGGGGGGGGTGAGGCTGGTGGGGGGGGGGGGGCTGGGTGGTCCATGGGAGGGGAGGGTGTGAGACTGGAGTGTCACTCTGTGTGTGTGTGTTGGGGAGCGGACTTGCCCCGACACACTGTGAAGGCTATATGGGGGATCTTTGTCTCTGTTGGGGAGCGGTGGGGTAGCGGTTAGCGCGCTGCCCTACCCGCCTTAAAAACGCGTGCCTGCCACGGCGCGTGTGAACATGGGGCACTGGGGAGACGAAGACGGCCAACCCGCCTACCCAGTCGCGTGCCGTCCCCGGCCTTAATCGGTGTCCGCCAAAAGCGCTTGCCGCTGACAGTCTATTCCAGGCTATGTGGGGGGGGGGGGGGGGTCTTTGTCTTGCTTGGTTACAGTGGGGCTGTGGGTGTGGGGGGGGGGAGGTAAGGAACGTGATGGGGGGGGGTCTCTCGTGCGCGCATTCCACAGTGGCGACGTCATTGGCTGTGGAGTCGGGGTCCGTGATCAGGCGCAGCGCCCCCCCCCCCACATCTCCTACAGCAGCGCCCCCCCCCCACGTCTCCCCCCCCCCACGCCCCCCCCCCACGTCTCCTACAGCAGCGCCCCCCCCCCACGTCTCCTACAGCAGCGCCCCCCCCACGCCTCCCCCCACGTCTCCTACAGCAGCGCCCCCCCCATGTCTCCTACAGCAGCGCCCCCCACACCTCCTACAGCAGCAGCAGCAGCGCTGTATCTCCCCACCAGCAACGCTCCGTGCGGGACCCCCCCCCCCCAACTCATGGACACGCAGCGGTGGCACGGCCAGGCCGGCTGACCCCGTGCCCACCTTTGAACTCCGCCGTGCCGATGTTTGCCCAACGGGCTCGGCTTAATATTGTCAACGCGCGGGAGGTTTCCTGCACAGGTTTAGACTCACAAAGTGCCAACACGCATCGCACACACACAGCTCGGTGTGTGTGTGGAAGGTGTGTGTGTGATGGAGCAGACGCCGCGGAGTCTTGAGAAGTCGCCTGGTGTGTAGAGAGAAGTTCCAAGGGAGGGAGGGATGGAGGAGGTGGTGGCGGAGCAGGCTGAGGTTAGGAGGTGGCGCCCTCTGGTGGGAGAGCCGTCACTGCTTGCTGCGAGCTCCCACAAACTGAGTGTCAGAGGTCACAAACGGGTTTTGATTCCTTACCCGTACCCGGCCGCACCAGGGTCGCAAGCGGGTACCCGCTTGCCGGCCGGGTACGGGTAGGGTACGGGTATCGGGTACCTGATTGCGACCTCTGGGATGAAGCCATGTTGCTGGCGCCGGTGGGTTGATTCTAGGAACTTGAATTGTGAGAAGAGACAAGACGTTGGGAAATGAGTGACAAACGGTTACTCACCAGTGACTCACGGTCTACCCGTACCCGTACCGGGCCGCACCAGGGTTGCAAACGGGTACCCGCACCCGGCCGGGTATGGGTAGCCTGGTATCGGGTAGGGTACGGGTACCCGATTGCTACCTCTGTTGAGTGGCTCATCCATGTGGAGCATGCCGACTCCAAATATACAGCAGCAGCAGGCGTCAGGGGTGGGGATCCAATCCACGACCTCCTGCACACCAGGCGAGGTGGTTAACATCTCATAGTCACCGCGGGGCCTCGACACTTTCAGGGTCAGCGTCGGATGAATGTCGAGAGGAGCCTCGTGGTTTGTCATAGTTCTGGGGGGAACCCTCGCCCCCCCTTTGTGGATTCAATTCCTCACCTTGGCTCTTTTGCCACCACCACCATGAGTCCATGACCAATGCCCGACGACGCGAAATGTTCGGGTAATTCCAGGCCTGAGTTATAACCGTGACACACTGTTGAGACTAAAGCACAGTTAACGTCAACGAAACCCAGTTTAATTTCCACCACCAGCTGGTAACGGTACAAAGAGCGGGGCTATGCGTCGTGATTTCCCATGCTAACGGTGCTCCGATGAGCACAGTGCGAAAGAAGTTCAACATAAATACACGTATTCTTGGTTCTTTCGGTAAAGTCACGTAGAAGGGAAATAATAAAATAATATAGGTTAATATTTATATTCTTTTATTATTTCCCTTCTACGTGACTTTACCGAAAGAACCAAGAATATGAATCCCTGCAGTCACGAAAGCTTTAAATCTAAATAAATACATGCATGTTGAACGTGCTAATGCGGGGGAAGGACAACAAACTAAACACAAACATCTGTTTTAAAGAAACCAGTTTTCAATCTAGTCTTAAAAGTGCATCGCTCCAGTGGCTTCCTGATATCGAAAGAGCGTTCCAGACGGCCGCCAGAAGCGCAATCCGAAAGCGCGTGATGCAGTGACCGTCTTTGTTCGATGGCCGCTGCGACGATGACCGGTGGGCCCCCACGGTGTTAAACAAGCAGCTCTTATCGTCCACGCCGTCTCTCGCATGCCCTCCCACCCTCTCGCCCTGTGCTGAGGAAGAAGGCCTGTTGCCTGTGCGGCGATTGCACCGATTGGCACTGCGCGCCAACGTACAAAACGGCACAACCCGGCGACTTAAGTCACCGCGTGGTGACATTTGCCCTCGTTTACTGGTCATGCTGTTGTCGTCATGGCCACGAGCGAGTCTATGTTGTACAAACACAACACTGTGGCCTTACAAGAATAATAAACCGTATGGTGACGTTTCAGGCAATAACCCGTCTTTATGGCACATAAATAAAAAATAAGGGCCATTCCCCAAAACGTTGCCCACATTTTTATTATTTTAAAGGCCAGACGCGGTGTTGCGGTCGTTACAGTAATGCCGTGGCTTGAATTGACAAATGACACTCGATGATTCATCAGGAGTGCTACAGCATCATGTTAATTCGTTAACGATAACTCTCCACCACCCGGCAAAGCCAATCGTATCAAGTTGTCACGTGGGCAAATATGCCAACTGCATGCAAAGTGTTGACAATTTTTACGAAGAATTCTCAACGTTTTGCTCACTATTCATCTCCTCCACTGATTAAAAAAAACGAATAAATTGAGACATCATTGACCTACAAGGTGATAACTCCATTTGATTGGCTGTGCCGCTGGGTGGTGGAGGGCTGTAGTTTAAATATTCTTTACGCCATACACTACGCGACAATCTGACCCCAACACAAACCACTTGTGGCTCGTATTCATTGGCCGTGTGGGAGCCCCACGTATGGGACGAGTGCTGCTGCAGTGTTCCACTCGGGACGTCGTAAGCCGATGTGTGTGTCATTACCAACTCCGGGGGCAGCCATCTGCATCGCGTCCGTCAGACGCCTAACGTTTCCCTCAGGTTCTTGTTTAAAGATGATCTTACGCGATGTGCGTTGATAATGATTAATGCGATATAACCAATACCGATATGAAAACAATGACGGTAATTTTTGGTCCCAAAAAAGACGAGATTGGTTTATTCGTCAACAACAATCGTGTTCCTCTCGTGCATTAACGGGGGGCGTACGTTACGTAACGAATCTATAACGATGAGTAAATGTTTCAATCCCCAAAACACCAGAGAAGCAGAATGAGGCAGCCACAAGTTTAATTCATCTTCACAAAGCAGAAGCCTCCACGCGCAAAACGCAAAACCCACCGCACAGTCCCCACGCACGTGTGACATTCACTCCTTTATCTACAGCGAGACACGGGGGGGGGGGGGGGGGGGGAGAGAGTTTACAGGAGGAAACAGACAAGTGTAGGAAAGAGAGACACGAGGAATTGAGCAAAAATGAGGTGAAAAAGAGGAGACAGGGATGAGAGCGACTTTGGGAAGAGAGAGACATGGGGGGAGGAGACAGAGAAGCAATGCAGGAACGTGAAGTGATGAGGAGAGAAACGCGGGGAGGAGCAAGAGAGACACAGGGTGGAGAGGAGAGAGAGACGTGCGGGAAATCTGGGGAGCAGAGCACACCGTGGGGAGTTGGTTTTGTTGTTCCGTGTAGGAATCTCTTGCGCTCGGTTCACTTGCGTCCCTCTCGACTCACGGAGGCCACGGTAAGGTGGGACAAGCAGTGACGGTTAAGGTGATGAGAGGCGACGGTGGGGGTGATGGCAAGGTCATGATAATGGGGGTGACGATGTGGGTGAAGGGAGGGGGATTGACGATGTGGGCGATGATGCAGGTCCCCCAAGCACCCGGCCCTCACGGCGCAGCCTCATCGTCGGAGCTGTGATCTCCGTGTCGCCTGTATGTCGACTAACAACAACACACACACACGCGCAAGTACAGGTGTGTTATACAAGTGTGTGTACCGTACACAGGGGTGTCGCTTTGCACGGGTGCGTTGTGCTGTGCACTCACTATCTTGAGCAGGTCCATGAGCTTGTGAGGGTCCTGCCCCGTGCTCAGGTCCACAAAGTCTCGTGGGAGCCGGTAGCCGAGGTGTGCGCTGGGCTGCAGGTACGACTCGCTCGTGGCACACCGCAACGCTGGCAAGTCCTGCTCGCACGACAGCACACCACGACACACGGTAGAACACGACGCTCAAGTGGGACCTGGGCAGGCACGGTTTCTCCCACTGCAAGTGCCAAGGTATGGTTGTTCAATTGCGGTTGTGCAGGTGTGGTGGCCCATGCCTGTTCCTCCGCCTCCGGCTCCGTGAGTCGCCCCGTCCGGAGCTCGTCCCACGAGAAGAGGAGGGCGTCCGTCACCTCCCCAAACGGGTTGAAGTCGATAAGCCACACTCGGCCCTGCCAACGGCACGTGGGTGGTTAGTACGCGCAGTAGGTGGGCACGCGCGGCGGCCTGGTGGCTCTGAAGCTAGAGCCACCACTGAGCCGGGACCACTGAGATCATGGGAATGGAATCTGGGTTTCAGCCACCAAGGGCCTCACCTGGCTGTCCCTGTAGACGTCAAATACATCTGCGGAGAGAGAGAGAGTGAAGCAGCGATGGGTTAGTACAGTGGCGACAAACCCAGGAGCCCACAGTGCACACAGGCATGGTTGGGGGGGTGGGGATCGAGGGCGACATGCGGAGTGAGGGTGGCTCGGTGTAGCACAGTGGCAGTGTTGGCTGTGGTGATGCGGTGTGGGCTGTGGTGATGCGGTGTGGGCTGTGGTGATGCGGTGTGGGCTGCGGTGGTGCGGTGTGGGCTGCGGTGATGCGGTGTGGGCTGCGGTGATGCGGTGTGCGCTCACAGTCCTCGCTGGGGAAGCGCGTGTGCACGCGCGCGGTGTAGAAGTCCTGGATTGCCGCGCGGATCTCGTCGCGCTGGCGCTCCAGGTGGGGGTAGTACTGCGAGTGGTCCCTCTGCGCTATTGCTGCACCACCAGGTACAATGCCGCACACCACCACCACACAACGCACATCAAACACCACCGCACGCCATATGCGGTGAACCGCCCGTCGCACTGCACTGCTCCCTCCGGCGGCGTCACTCACCGAGCAACTTGTTCTCCTTGACGAAGCAGCGGAACTCCCCGCCCGGGATCAGCTCGCACCACTTTCTGAGCACGAGCTGTGGCGCAGCGCGGACGGACGCACAACCACAGCGTCACGCACGCACGGGGATGCCGCGCGGGATGGCACCGGCGCCAGCAGGCGACGACGAGGTTAACGATTGTGTGTGTGACGAGGATGGGTGTACCGGTGTGTGTGTGGCAAGGGTGTGTGTCTTTGTTAGTGTGACAAGGACACATGTATCAATCAGTGCGTGAGCGGTAGTATAGCGGCTAGCGGTCTGCGGTACGAAACCGGCGACCCGAGTTCGATTCCCACTCATGGCCAACGCCAGTGATGATTATCCGAACCGGTCCTGGGCCTCCCCTAGGTCGACTCAGTCTCAAATGAGTATTTAGTGTGGTGTGTAAACATTGCCGCTAGGGAGACAAAGGTGGTCGGACGTGGTGTTGGCCACCCATCCCTTTGTGTGTCCCGCCAGCCTTCATGAGGTACTCACTCACAACTAACAGCACTTTCCCCAAGTCTGTTTAGACTACACTGGGGGTCTTTGTCTTTGTGTGTAAGGAGGCAGCGTGTATCAGTGTGTGTGTGCGATGGGGGCGGATGTACCGATGTGTGCGTGTGACTGTGACGAGGGTGCGTAGTAGGGATGTGTTTTGACGACGTTGTTGGGGTGTGTGCGAGGCAGGTGTCACATGTGTAGGTAGAGGTGTGGCGCGTGTCTGTGTGTGCTGTCACCTCTCTCTCTGAGACTTTTATCCTGAGCACCACTACATAAATGTAGAGATATATAACCACAATGCTGTTTGTCGTCTCACCTCGTACTTTATCTCGGGGTTGGGGGAGTCGTCCGTGCAGTGCAGGAACCTGACGTTTAAAACAAAGACAAAGCAACTGTGAGCGAGAAGTCCTGCCCACCCACCGACATCCTCCGCATGATTTGACTCGCTCGGAGTTGTGCCACTTGCGTGCAGCAACGAACGGTGTCAAAATTACACACCACATCAACCCGTACCGTCAAACCTATTTGTATATTGGTAACTAAATCACTCGCACAATTAATTTGGGAAATTGTATCTTAATTACGCACGACAGGGATAAATAGTAATTTGTAACTGCGTCACTCTGGTGGATTGTAAATTAATGAATGTTCCTTATGTGTGGGGTTCAGGGGTCAGAGGGCATAGGAGGTTTATACACGGATTATTAATGTCAGCTTTAGCTAAAAAAAATCGTTGGTTGCGGCTGTGGTCAAAGGTCACGGCGGTGAGGCATCGTAGGTAGTTTTCCCCAATACGCACGGCTGTGCGAGGTCGTGCGTGATGAAGTCAGAGCTCTTGAAGAGGAGGAAGATGTCGCTCATGGAGAAGCACTTGAGTGAGCTGTTAAGCGCGATCCACTGGGCATCCTACAGAGAGGAGAACACGTTACGCCGGCTCTCAGCTCGCAGACCGAGGCTCGTATTCTGAGTCGCGGCTCTGGCTCTATCTCAAATGCTCAGGCGCAGCTCAGGCTTGAGCCTATCAGTCGCTTCTATAGATGCGCAAGTGAGCGGCGCAGCCGTGGCTTGGCTCAGGCTCGGCTCACGGGAATCCCGAGTATGGCTGCGACTGTACTCGGAGCCGGCTCAAGTTAAGAAGCATCGCTTTGAGCCGGTTCAACCTTGAACCAGAGACAAGCCTGAGCTGAGCATAGGCCTGAACCACTTTAGTTTGATTGATATGAGATGAACACTGCGCAGGACATACGGGAGCTGCGTGCCCTGCGAGCGGACAGAGAGAGAGTCCTAACGAAGAGAGACTGACTTCAGCAGTCATTCTGTGATGTCATTATCCAGGGCGCTGCGCCGCGAGCTTTGAGAGTTTCCAAACGGAGACTCGTCGGGCGACGGCAAACCCCATCATTGTGTAGTGACTGACTTGGAGACCTAAGTTCTTGGAGGGAATTATTTAATTAAACACCGAGCAGACTTTGTACACTTTATACATTACACACCCTACACTGTTACACACTCTGTCTTTCGCTTATACGCAACTCTACACTGGTTGCTAGCCTACACACAACGCTAGCCGTCTGACACTGATGGCGCTGAACTAAGAGAACCAACTACGTCTAGCAGCGCAATTATCAAGTGGAGACTACAGCGGCGATGGTGACGATCTTCAACAGCAACGACGACAGGGATCCAACTACAAACGACAGCCCCGAGCACCTGCTCGGGGTCCCTTTTTATCCTCCCAGCGTGGCCTCGCTCCGCCCTGGCCACGCCCCCTTTCTAGAACCTACTAGCGGGTTCCCAACGTGTCCCTTCCGTAACCTTTCCCCTAGATCCCTCTCGGGTCTATCACGTGCCCTGCTGTTAGTCAGGGTTGCTTCAAGCTGCAGATCCCCTTCCCTGCCAGCAGCCAGCGCTATGCTGCGTAGTGACCAATTCTTTGTCACTACAATTGTACTGTACCTTAACTCTCTCTGCCCCTCCACCCCATCTACGTCCCCCTCCGCTTGCACCAAACCACGATGGCCAGCGTGACGAAGCGCCGTCAAATAACCAATTACACAAACACGTGCTGTAACGGAGACGTGCAATATTTTTTTCTTAAAAATTAAATTATGAAATCTAAAACATTCCATGAGATGGAGTATCTCGTGAGCAAGGGTGTCCAAGGTGTCGATTGACACGCGCATAGAAATCGCGCAGTGACGCATGTACACACAGTCACAAACTCCTGCGTGTAATGTATCTCGTCTGACCGGTCAGGGTCAGGGTTCGTCACCGGCAGGGCCCAGAGTTGAACGCGAGGTTTGGGGAGTGTGGGACGAGGGTGTGTCCCACCTCTGATCTCCCGTGTAGACTTCAACATACTGTCAGGGCAAGCGCTGTTAGCAAGGAGCACTTAAGGCCAGAATGGCACACGAGGGGGTTGTGTGGCCATCGCCACGCCTGGCCGCCTTTGTCTCTCCTGTGCTATTTTATACACCGCATGAGGTCCTCATTTATGATTGACTTTATCTCGCAGTGGCCCGTGACCGATTTGGATATTCGTCACCCATATTTGCCATGAGCGGGAATCGAACTCGGGACTGTGGGTTCGTGGCGCAGCGCTCTCGTTCCCACCTTGGGGGAGCTCCAGTTGAGCTTGGGGAAGACGCTGCCCCCCAGCGTCTCGATGGCATCACGGACCTCCACCTCGAACTCCGGGAACTCGGGGGCCTGGCGCGGCACCAGGAAGGAGGAGACGGAATCGAGTGTCACGTTACAAAAAATAAATTTGTTCCGGTAATACTAAGAAATAAAAAAAACTACAGCTGGGAATGTGAATGAATGCATGAGATGAGATGCACGGCGCTTTGGGATTCTGCGCACATGCAAATCCTCCTCTCCACATACGGATGAGACTTGAACCAAGTGGTGAGGATGACTATGATTACGCAACCACAGCCACACACGGCTTCCCATCAGCCGATTGTCTCCCAAGGCGACGTTCCGGGACATTGGACTTTACCAGCCGTGTATTTGGTGCATCGATTCACCGATAAAATAAAATCCTCTCTTGTGCTCATGATACACGGGCCGAAGCACACGTGTAAGAATTGATAATTTACTATGTGCACTAAATGGCAAACAAAACTGTACTGAGTAATAAACTATAAATACAAACGAGGCTAGAAAAAGAATCCATTCGTGAACGGATTCGTAAACCCAAATTGTGACATCTGAATTGTGACAGGCGTCACGTTGAACGCTGTGCTTCTCCCACGTGAGATCGCACCGTCACGTGACCCGGGAGCTTCTCCACTCACAGGACCCCTGAGCCTGACCATGACTCCCACTTCCCGGCCGACCAGCCAGGCAACGGGTGACGCTAAGAGCAAGCTCGGGCCCAGCTGAGAGAAACCACAGCTGCTGCGGCCGCAGTGCAAACCGTGCGCCTACCGTGAGCACGCTCGTGTCTTCATCCTCGTCCGACCACTGCACACACAGAGACAAAGATCCACCTTATAGCCTTTAACAGACTGTTGGGGAAAGTGTTGTTGACGAGCACCTATTCAGCCCGGCATGGCACATAAAGGGATGGGAGGCCAGGACTATGCCCGGACGCCTTCATCTCCCTTGTGACAATGTTTACGCATCGCACCTGGTACCGATTTGAGGCTGAATTGACCTAGGGGAGGCCAAGGACCGGTTTAGATAATCGTCACTGGTGTTGGCCATAAAAATCGGGTAGCCGGGTTCGTAGCGCAGCGCAGTAACCACTGCACGCATGACACAGAGGGATGGACGCACAGACGCCACCCACATTACACACATGCCAGCCACAGCAACAACCAAAGCTGCAGCTGAGGAGTCGGCGACCAAATCCAAAGTGTGGTCTTCCGAGTGAGGCCGTGTTTTTTTTCTCTCAAGATTTCACCACAAACTACTTCGGGCATCTTCCCGAGTCGACGCAGGGAATTGCAGCCATTGTATTATGCGGCGTCGGCGTAAACAGCCGTTGGTAGAAAACCGGGAGAGAATTCTCACTTCAGCTCCAGGTGGCGCCCGCAAGTGGCACGTGGTTCCGGAACCTTGAGAGAAAAAAACGTTAACACGTGCGGCCTGGCCCGGCAGGCTGGGGGAGCACCGCTGGGATCTCGAGCATCCGTCAAGTGCGACGTGCGTGAGGGAGCGGGTGAGGGAGCGGGCGAGGGAGCGGGCGATGCCGTGAGGCCGTGGGGGGTAGGCGGGTTCTTCACAAACCTGGACGTCGTCACCCTCCTCCACTTCTGCTCGGGCCGGCTCTAGCCTGCAGGGTCACATGGGGACATGAGCTGTCAAATCATGAACGTCTTAACCTGCACGGGTGAAGCTGCACTCCTGAAGCTGTACAGGTGAAGCTAAAAAAGTGAGGTGGTAAAGGTGAGGCGAGACAGATGAGGCTGCACTCGTGAAGCTGGACAGGTGACACTGTACAGGTGACACTGTACAGGTGACACTGTACAGGTGACACTGTACAGGTGACACTGTACAGGTATGCAGTACGAGGCAGGTGTACAGGTGTGGGGAGCCGAGCCTCGTGTTTTCTTTGTAACTCTTTATTCAGGTGTTTCTCGGATTACACCCCGATTGTACTACTCGTGTCATGTTATTGCAGAAGCTTTCACAGTGTGTGGCGTATCACCACGTTTTAAAGTGTGATCCCAGAAGGCGATGTCACAAAATGACTAATTCCCCCCGATTGCACTCTTTATGGATGCTAGAGTCACGCCTATATGCTCTGAAAATGCAGCATCCATTGACCATCCACCTTCAAGCATAAGCTAAAAGCTCACTTATCCAGGCCCTCACCTGTCCAGGTTGTCATCTATCCAGGCTCTCAGCTGTCCGGGCTGGCATACGAGGAACTTTAAACTCTGCCTCCGTGCCTCGGAGTTCTTGATTGCATGTTACGTTCGATTATCAAAATATCTGCACATTATAAATAGTTTATTATTATGAATGAGTTTTCATCTAATGCCAACCACATTGAGTTTTCCTTTTAAGTGTCAGAGCTACAATTTAGCCAAATTAAGTGCAGAACCAAATGTAACATGATGGGATTTTTTATGTGGTTATCAGTGACCAGGATGAAACCATTAACTCGCTGCGCTTGAAAATTCAGGTTAATTCACGGCAGCTAAAGCTCCGATCCAGACCCAGGGTTTTGGCGATGTTGGCTCAAGAGTCTCTAACACGGCCATTATGATCTTCGTGAGCCAACCGGCCATGTTTGACCGAGCCTCACCTTCCCGGGATGACGACGGTGCCATCATCGAGGAGGTACGAGATCACGTCCTGGGGCAGTGGAATCACAATGCTGCAACACATGGAGACGGCGGCACTCATCAACCATTAATACTACCACCAACGATGACGAATATCACCACCACTCTTCACACATAACCAACACGAACATCACCCATCACCACCACTCTTCACACATCACCAACACAAACATCACCCATCACCACCACTCTTCACACATCACCAACATGAACATCACCCATCACCACCACTCTTCACACATCACCAACACGAACATCACCCATCACACATCGCCACCATGACGAATATCACTTATCAACGCCACAACGAACACTGCTCATCACACATCACCACCACAAACATCACTAATCACACATCACCCATCGCAACCACGACGAACATCACCCATCACCACCATGAACATCGCTCATTACACGTGATCACCACCACGAATATATCGTTATATAATAAACGTCATCCATCACCACCACGACATTATGGTTGGGCATAATGTCATGCTGGGGTAACGGGTTTAGAGTCTTGGATATATAGGTTATGGTTTAGGCGTTTGGGTTCAGGGTTGGAGGTAAAGGATGAAGGGGTTAGTGTTTAGGTGTTTGATTTAAGGGGGTTATGGGTTAGAGTTATGGTCAGTAGTGCCCAGCCCACACCAACAGCAGGCTACAAGCAACACCGCGTGAGGGTCGGGCTATTGTGGCTGCACCTGACCCTGGGAGACACCACAGCCTGAACCTGAATCCAACTAGCGCCTCAATGCTATATGTGATCCAAACTCTCTCCAACACAAGCCGAGCTCGTGATGGGCCAGAGCTGAAGCTGGGTGTAGCCCTAACCAATACTCTTCATCAATAACCATCATAACCGGCCGTGGTCCATCCACTGCTGGACGAAGACCTCCTCTCCGAAGCCTTCGCCATCTCTCACGATCCTGCGATGTAACACAAAAAAACAATTCCATCCAGCCGCCTGCACAGGAGCCGATCTCCTCATATCGATCCATCTCCCTCTGTGGTCGACCTTTCGAACGCGTCATTTATTGGTGACCACCGGCCCACCCATCCCCTTCTAGCCGTGACGTGAAACGCGCAAGGCCGCTATACTTTCATTAGCGGCCAATAAATATATGATGACTTGCGGACGCTCAATGCCAACGCACGCGTTTCTATGAATAGGGCTCCCCACACCTGAGCCCCCAGTTGCGGAGTCATCCACGCGACCAGTTGTGGGCAACCCACAACATCAGGCAACGGGCCGCTCAGATCGTGGTGCAGCCGGGTTTAACCCAGGCCACAGAGACTCGAAACTAAACTTTTTATGTAACCAGGTAAGGTCCACAGAGCTACATCGCTCTTGTTCAGAAGCGACCTAGTCACGAATAATAACTCAACCAAGTGGCTTATCACGTGGAAAGGTATCGCAGCCAAACACTCTGAACGCAGGTTTCTGAATGTGGAGGGGAAAAAGCGGAGGACCCGGAGAAAAAAAATCGACGCAACCACGGGAAGTGAGAGAGAGAGACACGCAAACTCCAAATATACAGCAGCAGGCGTCAGGATCGGCATCGAACCCACGACCCCCTGCACACCAGGCGAGGTAGTTAACATCTCCCAGCCACCGTGATGATGATGAGAGAGAGACACGCAAACTCCAAATATACAGCAGGCGTTAGGGTCGGGATCGAACCCACGACCTCCTGCACACCAGGCGAGGTAGTTAACATCTCCTAGCCACCGTGATGATGATGAGAGAGAGACACGCAAACTCCAAATATACAGCAGCAGGCGTCAGGATCGGCATCGAACCCACCACCCCCTGTACACCAGGCGAGGTAGTTAACAGCCTCGAGCCACCGCAGCACCCTGAACACCCGTCTCGCAGGCCGCGTCTGCCGCCGCCGCCGCCACGGGGCCCGCCGCTGACCTCTTGATGGTGTGGGCCCTGAAGGTTGCGTACCACGCCGAGAACTGACAGCGCGCGACATGACACTTCTTCATGCCGCTCGCCACTCAGCCCACCCGACCCCTGACCCCGCCGCGCGTGGGCGGGTCTAGAGCATGGTGGGTGTGGATTAGTGCGGCGATGGGCGGGGCTTAAACCAAGAGTGGGCGGAGCTTAAACCAAGAGTGGGCGGAGCTTGTTATAACTTGGGCGGGGCTTGTGCGTAAAGGAGGCGGTGCTAAGGGTGGCAGGGTCCCGCGCGCTGATTGGTCAGCTTAGGCAGTTGGTGGGTGTGGCTGTGGTGGGGGCCGGTTTCTGCGCGCTGGGCACGTGGGAGACACGGGGGGGGGGGGGGGCATATCGGGGCATTGGAAACGAAGTGGAGTTCCGTATTTGGTTTGGGTGCAGCGAACAATGGGGGTAACTTGGTTGCATGGAATACTGGACGGTTCACGTGGGGTCACGGGGCAAGAACAGTAAGTTGCACCAGCATATCCCAAATAAGTCCAGGTAAAGCCACGTTGTCATGCACCTGAGACGCATGCTCTCGACGAGTTCTCGGACTGGCACGACTCGAAAGACGGGTCAACGCATCACGTGGCCGTCTGGAACGCTCTTCAAATATTAGGAAGCCACTGGAGCTATGCACTTTTAAATCTAGATTTAACAACTCATTTATGTATAACTGATTTTGTGTTTGCCTTTACTCCGCACCTCCGATTGGCTACGTACGGTGCAAAAGAAGTTCAACATACATACGTACTCACCTAGATTATTGAGCACACGTACAAATTTGCAAGCAGGCAAATGGTTTAATTTAACCAAGATTATTGAGTGATGTTACTTCGATGAGAACGCTAGATTCACAATGAGTTTCAAGTTCAATTACAGGCTGGGCGATTGACTCCGGGGTCTATAAAATAAGTACAACTTTGTGGGGGGTTAACAATGGTTATCTCATAGGTATACTCACCCCGGCTATTGCAATATGGAATAAACATCATTGGCCCAGGGCCACCAACAGAGCTCCGTACAAGCAAAGATCACTCGGACACCCCTAATGTCCCCAAATGTCTCAGTGGTCTCTTGCTTGGTTATAGAGACGTTTCTTTGTTCGTCCAGGAAATGTTCTCGGACTTTGAATACTCGGAAGGATCCTGCTCAGGATGTTTGTCCCAAAACATACTGGGTGCGATGCCCGTGTGGGAGGAATGAAACCGCCACATTCGAGATGCACTCTCAAGCTAGACCTGCTGTACTGCCTGCCACAAGAACCACCTCGTGGTCCTGCCCATTATCCGAGGCCACAAGCTAATACATGCCATGGTGACAAGACCAAAGGTGGGTTACATTATTTTCTATCAGCATCTCGGTAAATTGCATCTCCAGACACCAAACCTCTGGAAATGGAGACTCAGGAAATCGGGAACCCAAGACTCTAGACTCGGAAAATGTAGACTCGGGGATGATACTCTGATACCACATACTCCGGATCTCATTGATATATACGATTCTAGAATCCGAGACTTGGAATTTTGGAACCAGAGACTTGAATGTAGAATTTAAGACTCGAGACTCGAGGACTGAGTTCGCAGGGGGTGTTTTTTTATTCCATGGTAGCGCCTGAGCTCCGAGTCTCGGTCAGAGGCTGTGACAACAGAAGAGACGAGAGAGAGGTACAAAACGGCGACTTTAAAGCAGCTACACGCGGAGCAATAGCACACAGCCAGCGCCTCGAGTTGCTCCAGCGCAAACCTAAATATTCCAAGTATCCAGTCAATTAAAAACGCTTCCAACTCTCGTATTATAATATAACGATCATGAAGATGTACACATACACGACGCGCTAAAGAGTGTGACGAATGGCTGACGTAATAACCTCCAGCCTAGACCAATCGCAGCCTGCTGATGCCAGCCAAGAAGAACGCGGGGCTGACATGTAAAATATGATCTCAAACAGGGATAACATTCCCAGTATATTTCTGGTCGCTGGTAGACTGGAGTAGGTGGCGCGTGACCAGTAGCTGTCACAACCATAGCTGTGACTGTTATTGGATGCGAGGCGCTAAAGGTTCATGTTTAGGTTACCGACACAGACCTCGGCTGAAATTAATCTCTGGTCTCACCCCAGGTGGAACACAGACCTGTGAAACTGAGTGACACATGGCTTAGATAGGGGACTCCTTGGGTGCAAATGCTGGTTTAGGTCAAACCTGGTGTCAATTACAATGGTACGCCTAATTGTTTGCGTGGGTGATCCCACTGCAATATGCACGCTTTGATAAAGAGTTGTCACCACCTACTAAAAGAGGCAATTAGTGTTGGCAGCTCTTAATGGCTCCAGATTCAATCGGTAACGAATGTTGGGGCACCCCCCGACTACTCTGGGCCGTGCCCTTGGCACCAGCCGGGACGCCTACACCAGCTTCCGCTGGGAGTGCCGCCGCCTGGTTTGTGGGAGTGCTGGACCCTGGCGCAGCCCCAAAACACTCCTCTCCGCCGGCGTCTCCAGTGCTACAAAAACTACCGCGATCGTTCCAGCAGTAAGTAGCAGGGTTTTTTTTTTATATGTAAAAACAAATTATACAGATCATAAAAAGAAAAACATTTTTGTACAGCACGACTCCAGCTAAAACAAGCACGTGGTGGTGGCGGGGGGAGTACAGCTCATGGTCTGCCTGCCATGTTACGGTGAAGTGCAAGGATTCGGGTTCGATCCGGGACTGCTGGGCAGTCGACTTTAACGTGGACGCCTCCAGGGAGAAACCGGCGGCCACGCGGCAATTTGTGGTGGTGTTGGTAGCGCCTGTCCCAGTAGACTGGCTAGTCGCCAACACAGCGGTTTCCAGCCCGAGCACCAACTTTTGTGGCATCTCCACGGTCTCACTTAGCAGCGGAGAACGTGGCCCCGCGGACGCATGTCGCTCACGGGAGAGGCCAAGCCGGCGGTCGTTTCCACTGAGCTGATGTTGGACGGCACACATACGCAATTAAAATTGATGAGGCTGACCAACAACCAGGGGGGGGCAGGGGACAGTTCCGGTGGAACATATTTGTCGACTCAGATGCCTAAAAAAATCTCAAATAAACAAAATGAGGGCAATACGCTGAGTGAACCAAGTAGCAGAGTGAATGTACAAAATTCGCTGCTTGCTGTTGATTCAAAAGCCAGAATCGTATCGGCGCGTTAGTCGCTCTATAAAATAAAAAATACTGAGCAATTTTTAAATAAATCTACACCATGCTGTAATGGAGGAAACGTACACGACAGATTAGGAAAACTCCATGATTGTCCTGACAAAGTTGAGTAAAATACACGGGCGCAAGCACACACTCCCACTGTGGTTGTGCGAGCTGGGGGTTGTGGCAGGAAACACTCCCGTGATGACCTGGGCAAGGTGAAACGCTCCGCAACGGACAACACCCCGAGGGAGAAACCAAACTCTGTAGCCTTCGAACCTCAGGCCTGGGGACGGGGGTATTTCCCTTCACCTCCCCTCTGAACCCCTCTACAGTGTCACAGCAATGTCGCAGCTTGGCAAGCCTGGCCCGTCCGCACCACATTTCATATGTAACACTGTGCGGCGTGTGCGAGTGTGTGCAGCTTGGTCTTTGCGCACGCTGCACACAAGACGCCTCCTGTTTCGTGCTCAAGGGTTCTTCCAAGCTCTTACGTCGACAAAGTTCCACCTGGCCACATGGCGGTGGCGACGCCAGCACCATGACCGCGGTAAACGGCAGCAGTGCCGGTGGTCGTGCCAGCCACGCAAGTCCGAACGAGTCCACGCTCAAGCCAGAGTTGAAAAGTCAACACGGCACATGGAAGCCCCGCCCCCACCATAAACCGGGGCCACCGGTGGGGCAACCGGTGCGGCCACGCAGTCTGGTAGTGGTGGCGGCAACGGTGGCCCAAGGAAGACGTCGGTCAGCCGTACAGTGGCGCGACCCACGTCGCGGCGAAGGTGCGGTTACGACGAGGACACGGTCCTGGAAACGGATTCGTGCGGCCACATTACTGGACTTCTCCAGCGACCGCAGGCGTCCACCGGGAGAGTCGGTCCAAGCCGGTACGCCGACGACGCGCACGTGCGTTCAGGCACTGGTGCCCGTGATTTGGCTGTTGTACTCGGCCGTCTCCATGCGCAGAATGTAGGGGATGATGCTGTCGATCTGCACGTTGCCGATAAGCCCCGCGAAGAACAGCTCCTCCGTGATGTTCGAGCTCATGAGACGCAGCGCCGGCAGCCGCAGGAGTAGCCGCGCTAGCCTACATCCCCCACACACAGAGACAAAGATCCCCGTATAGCCTTAACACAGACTGTTGTTGTTAGCGAGCACCTATGAAGGTCGGCATGGCACATGAGGGGGTGGGTTGTCAGCAACATGCCCAACCGCCTTCGTCTCCTAAGTGGCGATGTTTACACAGTGCACTAGGTACTCATTTGAGGCTGAGTAGACCTAAAGGAGGCCCAGGACAGGTTCAGATAATTGTCACCAGTGTTGACTGAGCGGGAATCGAACCCGCGTCGCCGGGTTCGTAGCGCAACACACTAATAATTGCACAACAACAACCGCCATTCGCCACTAAGTGGCGGTGACGTCACCACGACGCTTGTGCCAGGCCATGTGCACCTTAAGGCCACGTGAAGTGTCGAACGCCCGCTGGCAGGAGGTCACGGGGCAGACCCAGCAGGTGCCACGGGTCGACTGACCGAGATGACCGGCTGATGCACCACCTGTGCCCCCTACTGTGCCAACTTGCTGTGCTTTAGCACTACCACTCCCCCCACATGCGCACACACGCGTCAGTGACGTGCATTTGCCAGTGTTTTCTCTAAATGGGAAAGTGACGAGGAGGTTGCTGAGAACAGGTCCAAAAGCCCAAAGTGTCAAGTGGCCAGCAACAAACAGCACTGTTAAAGTTGTAACAGATAAGGTTTGAGCACGGTCATGGGGGAATTTGGGGTGATATTTCCAGTGCGAGGGAAGAAGTAGAAAGGGAAGTGTTGTGAAATGCAGTGTGGAGCTGGTGGCTGAGCACAGTGTGAATGAGACGATACATTCATTCTGGTCGAGAGTCCTCAACAAGGGTGGAGGAATCAATGAGTGACATTCACGGGAACAACAACGATGCTCGTCGTGCGGAGAGAGAAATTAAGCCGATTGTATGGCATCGTTTTGTAATTTCACCGATTCGTACAAATAATTTGGCAACGCGGATGTGAATGTGTCCTTTGCAATAAACAAACGACACATTCGTCAATAACACTGCGGCAACGGCCCTTCTTCATAGCACACAGACAATTTGAACACGATCACGTCCAAGGTGTCTGTCAGTCTCCTTTATTTAACCGTAAGATGAAATAAATCCATTAAAATGCAGTATACAGCCTCTTTGCAAGTGCAACTTTTCTTACATTGAGATGTACTGGGCATCTATGAAAAATAACTTTATAGCTCATCGGACTCTGATGTTTTAAATCGCACCGAATATCTTAAAACATTTTGGTCCAGCTGGCCGTGCTTTTACCACACCGCGAGCGATCCACCGAACGACGACGCGTCATTGGTTGGTTCCGCCCCGTGCGGGCGACCACGGCGCTAACCTGTGGGGGTCGTCGGGGTAACTCTTGCTCATGTACTCGTGCAGCTCCACATGCGCCTTCTCCTGGAAGCGGTCGATCTGCGCCGTGTTGACGAGCCCCGGGTGGTCTACGGAAGAACGGCGGAGAGGGCGCGGGGGGGGGGCGTGACGAGGGGTGTTCGCTCAAGACGGCGAGCTCAGATCGCCGCCGGCCGGGGTGATCAAAGGTCAATCAGTTTTTCATCAAATAAATCCCTGATAGTAACATGACATTCTACTACAGTTGTTTTATTGGATCGTTTACAAGGCAGTTACCATGCCTACCCCCACCACACCCCCGTTACAGACACATGGATGCATGTATGTTGAACTTCTTTCGCACCGTGCGTAGCCAACTGTGCTAATCAGAGGTGCAGATGGACAGAGCTCACGCATTAACACTTTCAACCTTAGTCAGAAAGCGTTTAAACGAAAACTTTAAGAAGCACCACCGTAAAATGGTCCCGTAACATCACTGGTACTACTGGAGTGTACACTGCCTTACAACACGAGTCACATCACTAGAGGGTGCTATGTCGCGCTCATAAAGTCAAAAGTATGTTGTTTTCTTCTCGTGAACGAACCCTCAAAACGAAAAAATGCAAAACGCATTCCCACCCTGCCCCACTGCATTATTACAGTGCAGCTGTTGCCATCTGGGCTACAGCCGCACACCCGCGGCGTACCTTATGGTCGGACAGCACTGTGGATCGTCAAGGGGAGGGGGCGGATCAACTTCTTCTCGCCGGCGCATACGTGAGAGCGGGAGATTAAGAGGGGGCTGTTGATGCAGTGAGAGCTGTGGACGGGGAGGAAGTTAGGGCAGTGGGGTGCTGGGGGGGTGGTGATGACAGGACCCGTCCACACACCAGGGCTGAAGAGGATGATGGCCTTGAGGTAGGCGTACTCATAAGGGTCCACGTTGAGCTTGCTCATGCTATTGCAGAACTCCTGTAGCTTCCAGATGTGCTCCATCACCACCTTGACCCGCTCTGTCGTCAGCTTGTCTGCAGAGTAGATGCAACCGGGAGTTGAATGTGATGCAGAGGGGCCACCTGCCCATCTCGGGGAGCATCAAAGCCCTCGGTACGCGATGACAAACTCGCCAGATAGCTAAGTGCGTGCAGGCTGTCCACAAATAACTTTTAACTTTACTACCTTAACCACGCGTGAACTCGGCATGTAACGAGTCAAGATTTGGATTAAGAGTTTGGGGCAATGACCGTGAAAAAGAATCTTGCTCCTTCTGTTTGCCTACAGCAGTGGTGGTCCAATACGTGGTATATTTCAGGGTTGAATCAATTCAGGAATTGTTGGTCATAGCTTTCTGGTGGATTGTGGAGCCCATTGAGATCCACCAGAATGGATCATCACCATTGCTTGGAGCATTGACCACCATATTTTTAGCATATGATGTAAATATAGTTCTCATTATTCACGGAGCACCGAGTGTCTCACACGCACAACTTGATGCAGCCACCTTGACCGTGACAATCGATTTTAATCCATCGATCGTTACACATGGAACAATGACGTCACGTCTCGCTAAGACCGTCATCTTCGAGCTGCCCCAAAGCCTTACATGGCCTAATGAACCCTCAATTTTACACGTCCACTCCACCCCCAACCCACCACCACTGCTCTCCCTTCGTATCCCTGCTCCCCTACACTCCCATGCTGCCCCTATGACCCTGTACAACCGTGACATCCCCCAAGCCCCACCACACCTTGCTGCAGGCTGGCTTGGAGGTGGTTGACGATGGCGGTGAGGATGGTGGAAAGGTTCATAACCTGGGCGCACTGCGCCAGGCCCAGCGTGAAGAGCTCGTTCCAGCAGGCCCGCACCAGCCCCGTGTTGCCCTCCTGGCTGCACAGCATGTTGGGGGAAATAAAGAGGTCTCACCCATCCTCGGGCACCGCAGACGGAGCGAGAGATTGATGGCTCGGGCGCTCCGGGTTTTCACGTGACACCGTGCCAAGTGTGACGAGTGTGTGCGGGCGTAAACCACGCCTTGTCCTTTCTTTGAATACGACACACAGTGCCGGGCATTAGAAATGAAGAAATGAAGAAAAAGGCAAGAGCGGCCCCCCTCCCCCCCCCCTCTGCGTAGGGCTGAAGGAAAGTCCAATGGAAGGAGCACCCAGGGTGGAGAGTGAAAGGCAGGCTTAGAAAGAGGTGTTTCCAAGTGGTGAACGAGGATGCGAAGGACTGTGGGGTGGACGTGGAGATGAAGGCAAAGGTTAGGATTTAGTGGAGAAGAGGAGCAGTAAGCCAGATCCCAAATGTATGCCAGGTGAGTGTGTGTGCAGGGTATGTGTTTGTGCAGGGTGTGTGTGCAGGGTATGTGTTTGTGCAGGGTGTGTGTGCAGGGTATGTGTTTGTGCAGGGTGTGTGTGCAGGGTATGTGTTTGTGCAGGGTGTGTGTGCAGAGTATGTGTTTGTGCAGGGTGTGTGTGCAGGGTATGTGTTTGTGCAGGGTGTGTGTGCAGAGTATGTGTTTGTGCAGGGTGTGTGTGCAGGGTATGTGTTTGTGCAGGGTGTGTGTGCAGGGTATGTGTTTGTGCAGGGTGTGTGTGCAGGGTATGTGTTTGTGCAGGGTGTGTGTGCAGGGTATGTGTTTGTGCAGGGTGTGTGTGCAGAGTATGTGTTTGTGCAGGGTGTGTGTGCAGGGTGTGTGTGCAGGGTATGTGTTTGTGCAGGGTGTGTGTGCAGGGTATGTGTTTGTGCAGGGTGTGTGTGTGCAGGGTGTGTGTGTGCAGGGTGTGTGTGTGCAGGGTGTGTGTGTATACAGGGTGAGTGCAGGGCGTTTGTCGAATGTGTGAAGGTACCCCAGGGCCTGGAACGCGGGGATGGAGCGTGCCCAGTGCATGGAGAGGAAGAGGAGGCGCGACGCTGACTCGCAGATGTAGTGAACGTTCAGGTACTCGGGCATGGGCGACGGCATCGTCAGCTGCTCGCACAGGCACACACACACACACACACGGGAACGCACACGTACACAAACATGTAAAAAATACGTACACGCATTTGAACACGTGTGCGCACACATACATATGCACGCATGTACACACACACACACACATGCACCAGAGCAGACAAGCACATACATATGGCCACGTACGGATGGTTATGCATGAGCACACCCGGCACACATTTACTCAGAGCAAGATTAACCAAACCTCACTGCCACCCACAGGAGTCCCCCACTGTAGCTGGCCTCAACAGCTGAGGTTAGCCGTCTCCAACTGCTCAGTCTTTTTGTTTGGTTCTCTCCTCAAACAGCCGCCCTGCAGAACTGCCCCACATTTATCATCCCCAACATCTACAACAGCTCATAAAAACAACAGGTTTCTTATGCCATTGGAACCTCATTTTTCAGTAAAAAATATGATAATTGTTTTTTTACCCTTCTATCTGGCAACAAAACTGACACCTTTTTTTACAAGGAGTCATGTTTGCATAGACCACAATATCTGCAGTCATAATGCAAACAAAAAACATAACTCTAATAATGTGCACTGTCCTTTTGGCGTCATCTGGTCCAACCCATGTGAGACTAGGCTCTAAGGAAAGCTGTCTCGGGTGTGGACCAATCAACATCAAGGACAGTGCACATTATCAGAGTTATGTTTTTTGTTTGCATTATGACTGCAGATATTGTGGTCTATGCAAACATGACTCCTTGTAAAAAAAGGTGTCAGTTTTGTTGCCAGATAGAAGGGTAAAAAAACAATTATCAGGTTTCTTATGGCCATCCTCTATGGCCACCTCCAACGTAACTGCACCAAAAATCCACCAGCAACAGCTGCACTTTTCAAAACCATCTCGCCTGCGTCATCCTCGGCTAGATTCCCTCACCTCCCTCCACCATCGCCAGCAGGGTCGTCTCCCTTCGCTGCAGTCTCCCTGCACTACAGCTCACGGTAGAACTCTCCTCCACAGCAGCACCACTCACAATCTCCACCTCTCTACACCAAAGACCCGGACCATGGCCACTGCCGGGCATCGTTTCTCTGTGGCAGCCCTGGCCATCTGGAGCACGACCATCATCCCCACTGCACATTCACCACAGCAGCATGCACTCTGCAACGACCTTTTAAAAAACGCATAAAGCCTCAACTCTGTCGCCTGGCTTTCGAGCGACAATGAGCTTGGCTCCTTTGAGGCCACCCACCATCAGCTGCCCTGTGTAACGGATTCAAAACAGCTGAATTTCAAAGCCATTTCTACAAGCCGCCACCATCACCCCTGACGGTCAAAGGCCAGAGCAGACAAAAAGGCCAGAGCAGGGTGAAGGCCGTAGCCGGGTAAAGGCCGAGCGGCGGGCACCTTGAAGGAGACGTGCGTGTCGGTGAGGAGCGGGCCGTCGATCTCGATCACCGGGAGGTTCTGGTCGTTGGCGCCCATGAGCTGCAGGCTCGTGGAGTTAGTACCGGTCATGGAGGCCGCACCATCGGGCCCTTCCCCGCCACCGCCGCCCTCGCTCGCATTGAGGGCCTTGGCCAGAGTGTCGAATGCCCTGTGGGGGGGCGGTAGGGGAAGGGGTGGGAGGCACCGTCACTCTCTTTGACCACCAACATCACTATTGTATGATTTTTTGTTGATATATTTAGGTTTCACATCCAAAAGTCACTCTCTTTGCTGGGCGTATAGTAGCTGTGCACCTCTAGTGTGGATGAAAAGACCTCCTGAAGCGACCTCAGGATTAGTTCTGTAAACTAATTTCTGGGGCTGTTCTCACAAAGTTTGTTCACTGCCCGCTGTAAGAGTTCCGAATGGAGTTGTCTCCGCTGAATAATAACACCTATGGGTTTAAACTGCAGGGAAAGAGGGATTCAACTAAAAAAATCCCTCCGCCCAACGGTGTGCAGTGCATGATCATGTCACAATCACACGACACGGTTCGCTTTTACTCAGTGCTCTGCATGCGGAGCATCCCAGGGCACTCTACAATAGAATACAATGTTCAAGTACAAAAACGACAATGACACCCGATGTAAATGGGCGACATGCGCGATGTGCTCGTGCATGATCAGCGGGTGAGTGTGATCTGCGTGTGTGATCTGCGTGTGTGCATGTGCGTGCGAGGGTCTTCGAGCGTGCATATGTGCGTGATCAGGGTGTGCGTGACTTGCGTGCATGATCTGTGTGTGTGCGTGCATGCACGATCAGCGTGTGGGATCCGCGTGCAATGATCTGCGTGTGTGGATGTGCGTGATCTGCACGTGATCTTCGTGCGTGCGCGTGAGATCTGCTCGCACGCACGCTGACCGCGTGATCTCGCTGGCCGACTGGTTGTCGGGGGCGATCTCTGTCAGCGAGGTTTCCCCGTTGCTCAGCGTGTCCAGGCCGGGCAGCTCCCCAGAGGAGCTGGCAGAACTGGCGCTGGTGTTGGCAGCGGTCGTGTTGGCTCCCGGCGAGTCCTCCTTGCCCTTGCCGAAGTTGGCGAGTGATGTCACAACATTGGCCAGGGTGCTCAGGTCTCCCTGGCTCGTCTCCATCTGTGGGGCAATGCACACATCGATGTAGCTGAACCGGCGGCTAGAGCTCGATGATGTAATCATCGCTGACCCCAGTAGTGAATGTGGACCAACTACCACACTACCCTAACCACTACAGCCTTAACTAGAAATGTACAATCATACTGCAGTAAACACCACCCACTAACACTACAGCCTCAACCATGAAAGTAGAATTGTCATTATTATCATCAGGCATGGTCGGTCTATGTACTTCCGGATGGAAGTTTTCATGCTTCATCGCCATCCATAATGGTCCTGCAATGCCACGATTAATCTCACTTCTACACATGGGCTGATCTCATTACTCTCTGTATGTGGCCGTCCTTACTACCACAATAACCAGCCCTTGACAACTACAGCCTTAACTATGAACCATAAAACCACACCCCCTCAGCTGTGATCGTGGTAAAACCGCACCACTACCAAAGCCACGCATTTACCACCCCAGAACTCTACAGTGACCATCCAACTGAAGCTGAACGTTTCAGAGTCAAACCCTGAACTCAATAACGATGGAAAGCACTCAACCCCATTGTTTCGGTTTTGTGTTCTAGAGGCCGGGGGCATGTGGAGGTGGGTGCGGGAACCCCCCCCCCCAATGCTTACCAGCAGAGCGCTCTCATTCTTTAAGAGCGGCTGCTGAACACTCACCAGTATCCCCGAGTCAAAGAGCCCAGCCGTCCTGCGGAACACCGCGCACCAGCATCACACCCCGCACGGCAAATACACGCTGGCAAATATCCACCTTGCGCTATTGGCGCGTTACAACTGTGCTCCCAGATTTACACTGGTGAACCATGTCCCGCCTTTGTGAATTGATTACCAGGTGAGAGCACAAAAAACCACGATGAGTCTCCCTTGCACGGGGGGGGGGGCAATGATGGTTGCAGTTTATAATCCCAATTCAGTAATTTGCAGTGCCATTTTCAAAGTTTTGCCAATTTGGACCCTGATGCTGGCACACGATGGGCAAGTCTTGCAAACGACGTCATGGGATCTTTAACAACCACTGCTAAGCAGACGGCGTGTAACATTATTTTGGCTAATACACACCACAATAAGAACCAGTTTGGCCGCTGGATTCAAAACACGAACCTCTAACAAACGACGAACGCACTACTACTGGGCAATATCACCGCCCCTCTTAGGACTATCACAGTAAGTATTTTCTGGTTATCACATTCAAGTTCTAAGCAACAAGGTACTGTGGTATATGTCTAGGCTGTTACAACCGTAAGACCATGCGCGCATGCGCGCACTCGTAGGTGCTCTGAGATGCAATGACGTGAAAAGTGTTAAAAATACTACACGACGGTTTAAATCGAATCTCGAGTTCAAGAAACGTGGACTGAGAATCATGCACGTACGCCGCGCACCCTCGCGCCGCTTACCGCGACGTGTCCTTGTCCGTGACGAAGGTGGGCGTGGCGGCCATGGGGCTGCGCAGGTCCTTGCGGATGTAGATCTTGTCGGACGACACGGCGCAGTTGGCCGGCTTCTCGCGCATCGTCTCGATCGGCTTGCGCTCGCACTGCACGGCTGACGCACGCAGTCGCACCGTCAACACGGCTGCCCCCAATGCCAACGCCGCCCACCCCGCACCCATCCAACAACCCCCCACAGTTCTAACCCTCTTTTTTTTTTATGATCACAAATCTGAAAATATTTTTCACCGCCAATTTGTTAAAGGCTGCTGCGGCGTTACGTTGTTGCCAGAAATAAATGCGGCCATATCATTTGTGCTATTTTTCTATGTTCCCACAACTATGCTTCTTGCCTTCACCAACCAGGAATGACAAATGTCAGTGCCACTAACCGCACGGCGTGTGGAGGTTCTCATCCAACGGTGGATTGAGAATGGCTGCAATTCATTTATTTACTCGAATATACACCACATGCAGAAGATGAACCCAAGAACCTGAGTTCAATTCCTGGCAACGGCTAAGGTTTCGTGGCAAGTGACAACCAAAGCGGTCGTGGGCGGCCGTCGCACCACCAACCCCCCTCGCCCCCCCCCCCCCCCACCGCAACCAAAGCCGCACTGGCGAGCTTGGTGAAGCCCAGTCAAACGACGACCGCGACTCACACTCAGTCTTCATGCCCACGTTGAAGCACTTCTGCAGGCGGCAGTACTGGCAGCGGTTGCGGTGGTGCTTGTTGATCACGCAGTCCTGGCTGCCACGGCACGTGTATTTAAGGTTCTTGCGCACGCTGCGCTTGAAGAATCCTTTGCAGCCCTCGCAGCTCACGGCGCCGTAGTGCCGCCCTGTACCGCCAACGCCGACGCACAGCCACACAACCGCCGGGTGAACAGGGCAACTGGTTCTCACCCTTACTCCAGGACCAGCACAGATTGTGCCAGCTCAGAAATTCATTAGCGTCGCCTACATTTCAGTAAAGTCGCCCACATTTCAGTAAAGTCGCCCACAAATGATAACACCGACATTGAATGCGCCCGATCTTGCCAAATCTCAGAAGCTAAGTAGAGAATTGAGTCTGGATAGCGAGCGGATGGGTGGTCACAATGTGTATAACAGGAGTTGTAGATGAAAGGTTTATTTGCTTGTGCTGCTTAGCCACAATTCCCAACACCATCTCACACAGAGTGATCCCAACCACAGTCTACCAACTACACAGCCTCCACTATCACCACCAACAACATCACCAACATCATCCACACAACAGCCACATTACCACCGCCACCACCACCATCGCCAATCCCACTACCACCACCGCGAGTACCTCTGCCGCAGGCTCAGAGAGAGAGGCTCACATGAAAACACCATCGTCATTCTGAGGGACGTTAAAGGTCAGGGCCAGGGGTTGAGGGTCGAGATCCAATCGGGGTCAAGGCTCACCTGAGGCGCGGTCGCCGCACACGACGCAGAACTCGACGGGCAGCTTGAGGAGGCCACTCGCAGGGTCCACCGCCCTCTGCTGCCCGTCGTCCTTGCGCAGCACGGCCATGTGCTCTCCGGACGCCTGCTCCGTGATGATCTGCATCACAGCGAGGGTGAGGTCATCATCATCATCATAAGCCCATGATCAATCCACTGCTGGATGAGATGAAGGGCTACTTCGCGAAACTGTTGCATCCCAAACAACAGGACTCCGATGCAATAATCCTGCTGGCGCCTACATTTGAATTGCCCGTCTCGGGCGGTTTCCCTCCTTTAACTGCCACTCCGTCAGGAGTCTCAACAACCTAAAAATGTTACTATTTTTAAACTAAAAACTAAACTGTTTTAATTTTACCAGGTAAGCCCCACTGAGCTAAATAGCTATTTTTCAGAAGCGACTGGCTACAAATGATAACTCAATGAAGTGGCTTATCATGTGGAAATGTATAGCGGCCAAATACTCTAAATGCATATTTCTAAATGTGGAGGGGAGAATTTGCAAACTCCAAATATACAGCAGCAGGCGTCAGGGTCGGGATCAAACCCACGACCTCCTGTATACCAGGCGACGTAATATCTCGCCACCGCAGCGCCACAACCAATCATCCCTTCCATGCACGTGTCCTGCACCAAAGCCAAATAATGTATGTTATCAAAAGGTACGTCCGTAACCGGTGAACATTCTCCAATCCGTGTGTTTATCTTTTTGTCTCGGCGTAATCTCAAGCATGCGTTGCCTCTCCCACGCACTTTGGATTTCTTGTTCCATTTTCTTTATTACTTTCCCACATTTCTTATCGAACCAGCATGATAGGGAGGGAGAGCGTGCGGACAAGCGCTGACATCACTACGTGTTACAATGACCACGCTTGTCAGTGGCCATACTCCCTCACGGTGCTACAAAAGTTCTAGCTCGCCGGCACGAAGCTCCGCCGCACTAGACGAGATGTCATCGGCACCTGCAGACGCTGCGGCGTGCCGCCGCTGCCATCGTGGGTGGTAAGGATGAGCTGGCGGCTTCCGAGGCCGTCGGGCGAGGCGAGGATGATCTTGCCGCCCTGGGCACCATGCTCGGGCGTGCCCGCCAGGATCAACTTGCCCCCGCCGTGCCCGTCGTCCGCCGTGGCCCACACGAACTGTTTGGGTGGCGTGCCGCCGGTCTCCATCGCCGTTACAATCTGGATCTTTTGGCCCGTCTGCTGGTCCGTCACGATCTGCCAGGCCGCACCACCGCACGTTGATCCTCTGACTACCGCGACCTACCCTCAATGCCAACCACCCGACCCCATCCCGCCGCACGCCAAAAATCCAGAATTGTTTACTCGCCAAGCAATTCCACACGAGAAATTGTGCATCAAAAAACGGTACGGTAACGAATTGACGAGGTTATTTTCACACTGACGCATAAATCACTGGGTACCGCGGAGTAGATGTACTGGCCAATCACGCGCCAGCAAGGGCGACAACATGGTTCCCCTTTTTGGATTCAACAATTGTTCTGACTAACCCACAACAGAATACAACGACACATTCTATTGACTTGGGCAGCTCGTGAGAGAGGAAACAAGCTCGCAAGCGATTGGTTGCCCACGCACTGTTCCCCCCGCAGGAACCCAATGACTTAAACTCCCACGAAGAACGGACCGCGGTAACGCCGGCACCTGGATGCGGTGAGGATTGCCGAGTGAGGGGTCGGTGGAGACGATCTGGATTTTCTGCGGCGGGCTGTTGAACAGAGGGCTTCCCACGAGTGTGGTCTGCGCCCCCATCAGCGTCATCTGGGATGCCTGAACCATTTCGCAGACCGCCAGTTATGAGACGAGCATGCCACAGAGACCGTGTCATAAACCCACGCGACACGGCGCAGCGAAACCGCTATACACTGGCACGGCGTTTAACCGTCAAATAATAATGTTGTCAATTACAATGAATTATAATTATACGTGCAAAAATCAACGAATGCATGTGTTTATGCGACTAGATGTCACAGATTCACGCTAATACAGATTCACATCACGGTAGATTCTATAGAAAGATAGATAGTTCAGTTTATTCTGATTAATCAGGCAAGAACTTAATTCGCATGCGTGACCTGGGGATTACTGTAAATTCTACAGATTAACACCAACAGTATATTTCACAGATTCACATCACTGTTCAATCTACAGATTCATAAATCACTATAGAATCGACATGTATCACAAGAACAATACAGAACTGATTCTTGAATGAAACTGTTACCCCCTGAATTAGAGCGACCTGAGAATTGACCGTGTGGACTGCAATCAGGAAGAACCCGATACTTAGCCGAGGCAAATAGCATGTCTGGCTTATGGTTTAACAAGATGTGGTGTCTATTTTAGGAAAGTGTTGGGTTTAGAATATTGGAGAATGTAAGTCTGGTTTAGGAGTCTGGTTTAATAAGGGGTTTTAGTAGAGTGTTATGCGAGTTTCGCGAGTGGTTCATGCGAGTTTGGGGTATGGTTCAGTGGAGTCGTTTAGTAGTGTGATTTAATTGAATGTAAAATGTAGGGTCTGGTTGAGTGGAGTGTTGTCATAGACAGGTTTACGTAGGTGTGTGGTCTGGTTTACTGCAGTGGTTTATTGGAGTGCTTCACTGGAATGATTCAGTGGAGTGGATGAGTAGCGCGTGTGCGATGCGCCCGGCGCCAGAGCCACCTCGGCGACGTGCTGCTCCACAATCTGGTGGGCGAGGTCCTCCATGGTACCGGCAGCCGAGCCGGGACTGGTGAGGCCTCTGCTTGGCACAGCAGGGCCGGCAAGCCTGGCGAAAGCACACATACACACGAGACACAAGCATACGATAAGCATACATGATGCACACACGACACGCAAGCGACAAACATACAAAACAAAGAACCTCCTTATAGCCTATAAAATATTGTCGGGGCAAGTGCTGTTAGCGAGCGCCTATGAAGGCCAGCACAGTGCACGAGGCTGTGGGTGGCTCAGAGCTGGTGTTTACACACCGCACCAGGTATTCGTTTAAAGACAAGTCAACTGAGGGACGCCCCGGTACCAGTTTAGATATTGGCCACGATTATTGGTCACGAGCCTTAATCGAACTGCGGTTACCAGTGTTCGTGGTGAAGTGCGCTAACCACTGCACTACTGCTCCCCACTCATACACTCACATACATAAATACACAAAACACATGCACACAACAAAAATACACGATACACACATGCACGAAATAAGGTTATATTATATTGGTCACTGTATTGTTCTCTTTTCAGAAATCTGGCAGCAACAACACCACAAGGTTGTTGTTACACGGGAACCGGTAACCTGGCAAACATTTTCAGAACCGATGACCGATTCAGAAAGTTAGGAACCGGTAACCGATTCCTTAGAAACAAACTTTTTGATTGGCACGTCCAAACGACACAGCAGCAGAAATCACTGTGTGGTACATTTTCTTCCAATTCATCGTTAAAAATAAACAAATGTTATGTTTATTTATAGACATTTTCTATGTACAGCAAAGTAACTGGTCGTTTTCATGCCGCTACTGGTAATGCAATTTTTTTTTTTAATATCATATAGACGTACATAACACTTGATATACATATGCACGAGATACATTTACAAACATACACATGGTATACACAATAAACACGCACACTTGATACTCATACATACCATAAACACACATTATATACAAATAATGGGTCCCAGAGGGCTGGCGAAGTTGTTCCCGCACTGCGCTATGAACCCACCAACCTGAGTTTAATTCTCGGCCGTGGCTAACATGAGTGGCAAATTATCTCAACTTGGCCTGGTACCCCCTCTTCACTGACCTGGCACCGGATTGACAAAAATTAACCCGTAAAAAACAAAGTTTTTCACTATACAGTAAATCCTTTATATGCGTGGCGGCTAGAGTCCTCTCGTCCTCTGGATTGAGATGGCTGCCACCTATGGGTCAGATGATTGCCTGCTACCATTAAGCAATTAGTAATTAAATATTATTTATTTTTTCCTAAAAAGTGTAAAATTTTGGAAAAATTTTTTCACGAAAATTAATTGTCACGCACAACGAGTCTGTGTGGAAAATGTCAGCTCGATTGGATCACGGGAAGTGGGTTAAAAAACGACCGAAAGATTTGCACGGGCGTAAGCGCGCAAGCAAGTGAACTTAATATTAAGGATTTAATAAAAACCCATAACCGTTAACGTATGGGCAGTCCCTCGCCCAGTAGTGGATTGTTCTTGCATACCAAAAGCACGTGCATGCAAAGCCCCTAAACATAAACAGTCAAATAATGTGTGCCCTTCGATAAGTCTGTTGTGATTCAACATGTCGTAAACACGTGCGTGTTGTCCTCCTTAAAATCTATGGGGAGAAAAACATTTGGACTCAATGCTAAGGGCTGGGTTTCCCCAACTTCCTCTGGCAACATCTGTACTTTGTAAGTATGGAACTGGTATACTTGCCATAAGTTGACAGTTTCGGCTATTGTCTGGCACAATAATTAAATTACTGACATTGCAGTCGAGCTGTTAATGGAGCTGTGGTTGGGGTTAAGCTGTAGCTGACGTCCACATGCACTGCCGCAGGACGGGAGTCTCACCACAATCACTACCAAGGCGGTCGGCTTCTGCCCCGAACCTCTACTGCGAGTAACGTGCACACTCTGGGGGTTCGAGTTGTCAGCGTTCCAATTCGAGCCCAATTAACGCGGTGTGCATAGCACAAAGCGTGAACAAAAAAGACGGGAAAATGACAATGGGAGGGGCCAACAGTGTTACGGTGGAGCGCACTCGCCAAGAAAACGCTAGCGTTAACCAACCAGCGCCTAGTACTCGCCAGCCTTTCCAAATAGCCAGCCTGCCCTGAGTGCTATCCCTAACCAATACGAACCGTATCCCAGTTGCTACCTCTGGCGCTTCGCTAGAACCATGTTTCGGTGTTGATGATCAGAACCGGTATCGAGTACCCCACGTCCGCATGCAATAATCGCGACAGCGCCATACGTTTTCCCGCATCATCATCACACGCGCGCGCGTTCGCACTGCGGTTGAGAACGCGGTCATGCATGGCAGCGCCTGCAAATCTCCTTCTACAAGAGCCACGGGGCATTTTGCTGGGACCTGCTATGATTTAAAATAATTAAGTTAATTAGGTATGAAATAGAAGCGGTCAAACAATTTGTTTTAAAACAATCACGGCTTAAAACAAACAATAAACACGTGGGCCGTGAAATCCCATTTAATTGCAAAACACTAAGGTTACCACACACTTTAAGCTACGTACAATTCGGATTTAAACAGCCTCTAAATAGAACTCGTCTCAAGAATACAACATGGAACTTAACAAAAACGAGCTTGCAGCACCTATATATATTTTTATATTTACGTAGCACTTATAACAATTATACTATCACTAAACACTACGCCACCATTTAACCATGTAATACAAATTTACATCCTTTTGTAAAAAAAAAAACACTTCACGCAGAATCGTTTCAGATACCACTCGCCACTGACGTTAGCCGTGCCCGGAAGTCAAACTCATGGCGCTGGGTTCATATCGCAGTGCGCTAATTAACCGAGCCATCGCTCTGCACTCGGATACACATGCATGTAAAATACAGACACGGTTTCGCACACATTACACGACTGTAACGGGCCGTGTACGAATAAACCCCGCACAGTTGGGTGCTTGGGTCGGCCAGGTCCGTGCACGGGGTCCAGGGGCTGCGTGGACCGCGCGGAGCCTGGGGTCGGGACGTGCCGAGACGAGCACGGGACACCGAATTGACGCCTTCATCGTCCGCAGAGAGCCAACGGAGCGATGACCACAGCGCCTCGAGCTCTCTTACTCCTCCTCCGAACCAAACACGCTACCGCACGTTCCCCGCTTGTGAGTGGCGGGCGGAGAATCGGTCACCGCTCTTCTCTAAGGACGGCGTCGTGGCGGAGGAGACGGGGTCTGGGTGCCAGGCCACGCCGACCCGGGGCGAGGGCCGGGTCAAGCACAACCCATCGCCCACAGCGCAACGAGTCTCCCCTCACTTCCTAATCTCCCCGATCATAACCCCGCCCCGTTCGGGTGCCTCCTGAGCTGCGAGAACTATCGCGCTTAACCCAATCCGCTTTTCGTTTTACTGAATGCGTCTATTCAAGAGCGTATACAACATGCACAGCGAACGAGCGAGCGAGAGCGGACAGGCGCGATGAAGGGGGCGGGTGGGCGACGTCAGGAGCGATGCACGGCGCGGGGTGATGATGGCGATGGCAAAGGTTAAAGGGTCGAGTTGAAACCACGCCGGGGTCGCGCGGCCCTCGCCCAGCGCCCCGCCCACCACCTCGTCCTGCGCTGCGGGGAGGAAACCCCATTCGCAGCAAGCGGAGGCGCTCAGGGAGAACGAAGTGGAACGCATGGGGGAAGAGAATAGCCAAGACCCCAGCTCGGGATGGACCCCTATCCTCCTCCCCCCCCCCCTCTCCCATCTCGATCGCGGCCACTCTGCCTAGGCGAGAGGGCAGGGTCCGCGGCCCGTGCTAGGCCTCGCCCAGGCGGCAGCGCCATTTCCCGCACGCCCCGCCCGCGGTGGGGCCCAGGGAGACGCGAGGCGCTCCCTGCTGCCCGCGCGATCCTCGGGCCCCGGTGGAGCCCCTCGTGGACCCCGCGGACCCCTCCCCGAGGGCCACCGGTACCTACAGCGCACGGGGTCCTGGACCGAGCGGGAGCCTTGAGTCAGAGGTCGGAGGTCGCGACCCGTTGCGCGCGACGACCCCGGGTTTGGAATTCGCAGCGCGGATGGGCGGGGCTCGCGGATCATGTGCGCACGCTCGGCCAATAGCGCGTCGCTGTGGTCGAAAGGGCGGGAACCGACGAGGACGCAGCTTTTCGGCACTGGGAAATGTGAAGAGCCGCTGATTGGCTGGTTGGGTCCGCGGCGGCAGTAACGCGGCTCGTGATTGGTTCCCACGAGGCCCGCGCGATTCTTCGGGGTCACGGGAAATGGCGGCAACGCGAGCCGGGGGGCTGGGCTAACGATTCGCCCTCGATCCGATTCCCCTGAGCGATTTGAATTAACGAATCGATTCCGTATTCGATTATTGCTTTATTTTCTTGATGCACGGTTTGAATATGTTGAGTGCGTAGTTGGTGTTTAATTAAACATTTAATTTACCAACTCTCTGAATTGAAAATGCTAAATATGTTCACGATTATCGTTTTAACCGCGAGATAAATATTCGATGTGGCCGTGAATGGATGAATCGCTCTTTGCTGTGGACTTCACAAAATACATTTAAATATTTCCCGTCACTAAATAAACTTTTTTTTTACTTTATTGCCCAATTCTCTTGTTTTAAGAGGCACCCCCCCCCCTAAGCACGTGCCCCGTGCTAAGGGGCCGTCCATAAATGACGTCACGCCCCTGGGGGGGGGGTTGAGAAATGTGACGTCACATCAAAATGCGCAACTTTAAATAAATATAGACAACACGTTCTACTTAATTTAATTGACTTTTTAATAAATGTTTTCTCCTACAACATCAGAGTGCAGCGCCACATTAAATACGCACTACAATGAAAATAGTTTAAAGCGATTTGAAGCATCTTTTATTTGGGGGGGGGGGCAGAGCTTTGTGACGTCATATTTGAGGGGGGGGGGGTCTGACTATTTGTGGCGCCGTGTGACGAAGGGGGGGGGGGGGGTCAAAAATCGTCAAAAATCGCGTGACGTCATTTATGGACGGCCCCTAATACAATTTTTTTCCTTTCAAATCTGGTCTCGTACTGGATTATAAGACGCACCTGTTGCTTTCAATAGCAGAGGGGGATTTGCGCCTCTTACAATCCGGGGACTTGCATGCAAACAATTGCACGTCTACCCCTTATAATTATCAGTGCCCCTACCTTATTACAGATCAATTCAGTTTGTATTGGTCACCCTGTGCCCTTATACAGCTCGATGTTCATCCTACAAAGTCACATCACAAGGGAGAAACGCAATCAAATAGACAATCACCACTACTACACTCACCACTACATACCTGTCAGCCCCTTATCAGTGCCCCTACCTTATTAGAGACCAAATAAGACCGTATTGGTCACCCCGTGCCCTTATACATCTCAACGTTCATCCTACAAAGTAACATCACAAGGGAGAAACGTAAACAGACAAACCAAAATTGAAACGGCTGTGCGTCGTATGGACCTGAAACACTAAAATTCCCTGTACAATAATACGGGGTAAACTGTATGGGTTGACAGGCATTTAAACAAGTCGTGTGTTGTTAATTGCATAATCCAAGAGAGAAAACACAAACTAAAAATGCACAAGATAACACATGTTTACATCCGAAGAGTCGATGGAAAAAAATGAGGTTTTACCCTTTCTGGAACTAAACCAGGAGTTGCGTTTAAAATGTTCAAACACCAAATAGAAACCTTTTACAAGGAATCAAGTTCTGCATTGACCACACACAGTGAACATGCAAACAAACATGCTCTGATATAATACATTCAGTTTAAGTTTTTCAGTTTCATATATTAGGTATAGCCCTGTGAGCCATTCGGCTCTTGAATCGGGTGCAACCGCAACAAACAAAAAACATGAAACAAAAACACGAACAAGAAAACATCTTAAAGTGACGATGTGCAAACAGAAAATCCAGGAAAAGACAGAAAAATATTCCACAAAAAGCACCGTACACGTACTCTGTGTGCAAAAATCCCAGTGAGATGCAAGTCAAACAACAACAACAACAACCACAAGACAACTTCGATTAAGGCCATCAGTCGAACTCCGTACTACAACAAACAAACATGGCCAAACCAAAAAACGTGGCATTGTCTTTGAAACTGGTTGGCCTACACCAGAGACAGCCTTATTTAGTCGTATGAATTGACGGTACAACCACTCCCTCGGGTGGATCGTGATGGCCTCATCTTCGTCAGAGTTTCAAAAACCAAGCAGGTCCGAGCCTGGACACAACTTTGGGATGAGTGACCCCCCCCCCCCCCCACCCACATGAAAACCGTGGAGATAAATAGCTGATTCTATCGGTTACGTGGTAATTAGCTTGTGGGCAGCAGCGGGCAGTGAAGATTAATCCATTGTAACTACTTCTTGTAGATGGGTCCCCGCCGTCAACAACGATGCAGTGATGAGTATGGCGAAATGTGGTAAAATAACTCACATACATGACCACTAATGGATGCGGGAAGACCGTCATCCAGAAGTGGATTGATTGACAAAAAGGCAGTCCCAATTATGCGATCGTAGCAATGGTGGTGTTTGGTGATGATGATGGAGAAGGTGGTGATTATTCCTGTCAATATAATTGTTATGTACCCAGGAAAGGTGCCCTGAGTCCAAGGACTATTTTTCAAAAGAGACCTGTGTGTATGTTGAACTTCTTTCACACCGTACGTATTCAACCGCGCTAATCGGATGTGCGGAGGAAAAACAAACTAAACAGAAAAAAATATTCTAAAGAAATTAGGTTTAAATCTGGATGATTTTAAAGTGAATCGCTCCTGTGGCTTCCTAATATCGAACGGAAGAGAGTTCCAGACGGCCGCAGAAGCGCATCTGAAAGTGCTGCGCGATGCAGTGACCGTTGAACCAACGTTGCCCCAACGTTCCATGTTTAACGTTCCATGGGGTACATGTTCGAACAAAGGCTTTACAAAGTATTGAAAGCCAACAGTATTGGTAACCCCATGCTGCGGTTCACAAAGTGTAAGCGTTGGTGCGGTTATTGCTCTCCAGATGGTCGAGAGTCATTTAGCATTGGCGATTATTGTTCAGATGCTGCGTTGACCTTTGGCGGGACGAGGCAATTACCCCCGTGGCGACCACACAAAGACGCGTAGTACCTATTTTATCGATCCCCTAATTGGGTGTAGGGGGATTTTAACATTTGAAATCACAGCCCCTGGGATGGAGGGTTATGCACAGTTCTAGGAGCCACCACAAGGTGGCGGACTAACACTCCCTCACTGCGAAACCTCTGCAAACGCCACTTGAAAGCCAATTCAGAATTAAGTAACATTTGTTTCCATGGATAACTCTCCAGCTAGCTGCACTTGAGTCAACCGCATTCCTCACAGACGCAATGAGCACACACGTCTCCCACGCGCTGGGGAAATGGCTCGCCGTGATACTGGGCGAGAGACATTGGCATTATTATTGCTCTTTGGTTCTTTCTGTAAAGTCACGTATAAAGATAACATAATAAATTAAATACTAGTATTAAATTTATAAAATACAAGTATTTAATTTATGATTAAAGTCACGTATAAAGATAAAATAATAAATTAAATACTGGTATTTTTAAAAATTATTTTATCTTTATACGTGACTTTACCGAAAGAACCAAAGAGTAATTCCTGCAGTCACGAAAGATCCAAATTTAATTATTATTACTCTATGGTCATTATTACGACTCAAATATTGCTACTACCATGGTTACTTTTGAGGACTCGGTATAACGTACTGACTGTTTCGTCTAATCCACCACACGATGTTCAACCACCACACTACAGGTCACAACATCATAATCAACCACTCAATCACTCTAACCCACTCAATCACACACCCACTCAATTATTCACACACCCACCCATACACTTTCTCTTAGCCACTCAATCACTCATCCATTCAATTACGCAGACACTCACCGACCCAACCACTCAACTACCACACTGCAGGTCAGAGCTATGCACTTTTACATATCTAAATTGAAAGCTAATTTATTTTGAACTTTTTTTTATCTTTAGTTTGTTGACCTTCCCCCGCACCTGCGATGAGCACGGTTGGCTAAGTACGGTGTGAAAGAAGTTCAACATACACACACTTCTATTTCTGCTTTTCCCTTAGCACTGCTGTACGTTTGAACTCCTTCCCATCGTCTTTCCTTCATTCACCCTCAAGCTCTTAATAATAATATCCTTGGTCATTCAATAAATGTTATCAAGTCTTATCTGTTACGAGAATAGGGTTTCCCCTTTTTTTCTGGCAACAAAACAGGTGTTAAGATGTTAAAACACCAAACTGAAACCTTTCACAAGGAATCATGTCTGCATTAACCACGATACTTGTGGTCAGAATGCATTGTCCTTGAAACGGATTGGTCCACACCAGAGACAGCTTTCTTTTGAGCCTAGTCTCACAACCGTGTTAGACCAGAGGACGCCAAAAGGCGTTGCACCTTCAAATTGTGCAGTTTGTTGCCGACCGTTTGGCAGTTTT